AAACAACAAACAAAGCGATCTTTATGAACAAACTAAAAGATCTTCAATAACAAACTAAGCGATATTTAAGAACAAACTAAGCGATCTTTATGAAAAAAATAAGCGATCTTTACAACAAACTAAGCGATCTTTAAAAACAAACTAAGCGATCTTTAACAACAAACTAAGCGATCTTTATGCACAAACTAAAGATCTTCAACAACGAGATAAGCGATCTTTACAACAAACTAAACGATCTTTAACAACAAACTAAGCGATCTTTACAACAAACTAAGCGATCTTTAACAATAAACTAAACGATCTTTAACAATAAACTAAATGATCTTCAACAACAAACTAAGCGATCTTTATGAAAAAACTAAGTGATCTTTACAACAAACTAAGCGATCTTTAACAACAAACTAAGCGATCTTTAACAACAAACTAAACGATCTTTAAAAACAAATTAAGCGAACTTTTAGAACCACATTTTTTAGAGAAACGATTTAAAAAAATAATATTTTGCATTAATCCCCCCCCCCCCCCCCATTTTTTCCCAAATTTTTCATTAATTTATTTTAATATTAAAATTATAAAATCCAAAGTATTCATTAGATCAAGGGTCTCAAACTCAAAGGATGGGGGGGGGGGGCAGGAGCTAGTGTCTGAATGAGAGTGTGCCGCATCAAGTAATCCACAAAAAAGCGATTACAACTGTTACAATCTGCTCAACCTTTATAAATAACAATAAAACCATTAAGGGTTCTCAAGAACTACTCACTGTTGCCAGAGACCTGGCACACAAAAATATATAGAAACATTTTTAAAACAATCAGAATTAGACTAGTCGGTGAGATTCGACTGAAACCGTCGCGGAGAGTCACGTTATAGATATGAGAATGGGGGAAACGCGCCGGCGCATTTACACTAAACTTTTCTGTCATGTAGAGGGCCGCAAAATATCGTCCTGTGGGTCACAAATGGCTCGCGGGCCGTGAGCTTGAGACCCCTATATTAGATGTTTATTTATTAATATTCACGATTATCTAATTTTTTATAAAAAGAATGTAAATATTTATATTTTCCCACATCATTTTCGATGTATGCAGAATGTATGAGGGAACGAATTTCAAAATATCTTAATATTTCATTTTCGATTTCGGTTTCGGCTTCGGCCAAAATTCATTTTTAACTTTCGGCCTTTTTCGGTTTCGGCCGAAAGTCATTTTTAAACTTTCGGCCTTTTTTCGGTTTCGGCCGAAAGTCATTTTAAACTTTCGGCCTATTTTCGGCTTCGGCCGAAATCAGAAAATCACTTTCGGTCGGTCTCTACATTGACCACAAAATTCTGTCCCTGGCGTACAGCTGTATATTGAGGCCCTGAGCCGGAATATCTTAAAGATGTGATTTCTTAACACGCATCCTTGCTGAACTTGCGCTCTTCAATTCAGTCCTTACTGTGAGTTCCCATTTTGGATGGACACAGAAGGTAGTCATGCGGAGTGCGCTCGTTTGAAGCTATAGCGCCAAAATAATGGAACAGTTTGCCTTGAAATGATAAAAAAACCATTTAAGTAACTTTTAAAGACTTTTTTTCTTTAAATAGATTCAAGAACATCAGAGCGCTGTGAGCATAGTAAAATAGCATGGATACAAGCGCTATATTAAGTATTCAATCAATCAATTCGTGGTATTGATGAAAACAGTACCCCCCCCCTTTCCCCACCCCTACTTTTGTATGTATGGTTGGGGAGGCTAGTGGGTTAAACAAAATAACGTAATGTTGAGGGACCCCTCTTATAGTTTCGTACCGGTATTCATTATTTATATATATTTTTAAAAATGTTTTTATTTTCCTGGCATCCGTCCACATAATGTGACCATGGTGTGGGCTTCGCTGGACGAAATCGTCAAGGCCTGTGCTTATTCTTCAAGGATTATAAGCTGGTTCCCAACAGCAAATCACCTCTCTCCACGCCGCTGGATAGCCCAAGGGAACATCATGGGGATGATACAGCTTGGCCCCAGTGGCGTCGAAGGAGTTGTCGGAATGTTTCGTTGTACCAATGTTATCCGCCTTTGGGATTTCAGAGTTCCCTTCTCTTAGATGAGTTGCCATCCAAGGTTGACGAGTCCCATCTACCCGGGGTGTTGGTGTTGTTTTTGCTAATTGACTGGGCTTGAATTAAACTCCAGACCACCAACTTGAGATTTGCTCATATCTATATCACAAATAATAATTATCTATGTGTGTATGGCTGTAACGTAATTTACATATCCGAGGAAATCAGGTGTTGCGAACTACAGCTTTAGTTGCTCCCATAGTATGATAACCAGGAAATGAACAAACGAAAGAATAAAAAAAAAGCCGTAGAAAATGGACAATACCGGTACTTGAAAATAAATAAACAGTCCAGGCTGGTCTAGGTAGTGCAACTAGTGCAATCATTCAATTACATAGGGGGCACAACTCTGTATTTTACAGGTTATTCACTGTGTGACAATTATTCAATAAACACGCTCGATAACTCTGTAGTTAACATTGTCATTCAAAATGTGACAAACATAAACACATATTTGAAATATAACTTTTTTTTTTTTTTTTAAAATCCCAACGAACAATAATCATGTTTGATGATAAAGTTGGACATCAACGATGTTGTATTAACGTAGTAGACCTAACTTGAGTATACAAAGCAGCGGCGTAACAAGGGGATTGGGACCGCAAAGGGTGACACCATCTCAGGGGTGACACCCAATTGAAAAGTTTCATATTTACACAGCACACACTGCTCGGTCTCACCGAATTTCATAAAAGGATAACCAGCCACACGTAACTTTTCCACATATCGAACCGATCCAATTGTTGGGGGATGTTCAAAGACGCTTTGGAAATCAAATAAAAAGAAAATTAAGTGCTGTATAACTCACTATCAGTTTACTATCACTTCCTTGACAATCGGGGACTGGAACAAGGTTCCAAAAAGAGCAGGTAATGCGACAACACTTGACAGAACTGCATCTATTGCCTCAGGCCTTCCAACTCCAAGTTGAGTAGCCAGTGAAATATTCTCTTAAATAACGGGCACAGGAACATTTCGAATTACCTCTACTTTAGGGTGACCAAACGTCCCTTGTCCCGTTTTTTTCACGATCGTACCCGGTGTCCCGAAAAAGTCTCTCGGGACGCTTAAATGTCCCGTTTCTAAAACCAAACTTATTTTCAAATCACTACAACTTCATAATTTATAATAATAATATAACTTCAAGTAATATTTTGGCTACGCGTAGCCGCTATTCGGACCCGGGTCCCTTTAGACCAGTGGTTCTCAACCTGTGGGTCGCGACCCCTTTGTGGGTCGCGGGACCCTTTTCCAGGGGTCGCCTAAGACCATCTGAAAACATATATCCTTACAGCTATGAAGTAGCAACGAAAATAATTGTGTGGCTGGGGGGGGGGGTCGCCACGACACGAGAAACTGTATTAAGGGGTCGCGGCACTAGAAAGGTTGAGAACCACTGCTTTAGATCCAATCAATTTTCACCAATGCGAGCTCTTTTGTGTAGTCTTTGACTAATATCTATTGAGTATAAAAGCCTAAGGGCTGACCTTAATTTTATAAATAAGTCATTGACATTAACATTTAATCTGATGAAGAAATCATTGAACTCAGTCGACATTGAAACTGATCTTTCGTGAGGAGTTCAAACTTACGACAGCAGCTGTAGAGTTTTGTTATTTGTTTCTCTCTATTTGTTTACACCTGCTAATTCATTTTAACCTGTGTTCTTTTGTGCTCCCCCAAGGACTTTGTTTACGTCGACTGATCTGTTGTTGTACGGTCTATTGTCCTTCTTTAACATATACCTCAAACGAACAAATGGCTCATGTGTCGACCTTTGACCTTTGATGACACCCAAACCAGTTAGGGCGGATACCGAATATTTGATCGAAATAAATTTCGTCGACGGTAAATTGATCGACGGAAATGTGATCTGACGGAAATTTGGTCGAATCTTTTTTTTCAGTTCACACGTTAAGATTTTAGTCTAATTTCTTTTTGAACGCACTATACTATATAGTAAAACAAAACAGTTTGTTCAAAAAGAAATTTGAAACAAAATTTTAACGTAATATCTGTAAAAAAAAATTCGACCAAAATTCCGTTCGATCAAATTATCGTCCATCAATTTACCATCGACAAAATTTCTTTCGATCAAATTTCCGGATACGAGGTTTGGCGGCTTGTTTCTTTAATCTTGGTCCGGATGAAAGGCGATGAAAGGCGATACAAGGCATTTAGAATTTAGCCATTTTTTATTCAGTTCCAAAATTGGATAGAGGCAGGGTTTCTTTCAGCATCTCCGAGGGTGTGGCACTACCCCCGGGAAAAGCCAAATGCCCCCCCCCCCGAGCAAAAATATGTCCAACAATAAATCAGGGGGTGTGGGGGGGGGGGGGGGGGGGGGAAAGGTTTGTCAGAGAGACAGGTGTTTGTTTTGGATGTTGAACTTTATTCTTTAATTCTATATTATCTTCTCATGTAGACATTAATTATGCCAAAGCGTCAATTTATGGAGGAGTATTCCAAAGCGTGGAACTATATTAAAAAGTGACGCTATGAAAGTAAAGCCGAGTGCACAGTTTGCAATAATGTTTTTAAGTTTTGGTATTCCCCCCCCCCCAACCATCCTTGAAAGTGTCCCGTTTATTCCAGTTCATGATTTGGTCACCCTACTTTAGACTAAATCCCATTCGGATGTCATTTGTGGTATTGATTGATTTTAGTTAAACTGCAAAAAGTAAGCTTGAAAACATATAGTTCATTCAATTATCTTTCATTTGATACCTCATTTTGTCTTAAAAATCCAATAATAATATTATAAATAGTTTTTTAATCCCAACCTGTCACTTCTGATACCCGGGTGCGAATAGTCGCAGCCTTTTGTAAATTGCGGTGCGTAATTTTTTTAGCCGGAAGCAGTCATGGGTAATACTTCTAAAAATAGAAAGCTCATTGGACATGAGGAACGTAATTTCAAATGTGCATACATTTTGAAGAGGAACGATCATTTTCAAGAATAATTCCTCGTGCAACAATAATTACATATATGTTTCAAAAGGTTAAATAGAAAAATCAATGCATAAAAATTAATAATAAAACGGAAATATGAAAATTTTGAGTTGAATAATCAAATTAATCAGTTAAAAATTGAAAGGATTTGATCATTAAATCGGTTCACCGATCGTCAGGTCAGGTTAATTTGATTTCCTTTTACTATGTTATGTCGCTGATTCTTACACAGCCTTTTCAATGAAAATGCCAACTACCATAAACAAAGTGGAGGCTAAGCTAGCCTCTCCCGAATTAGGTGACGCAGCAAAACAGTGTATCAACTGTTTAGAAAAGAAAGTGAGAAATTTGGAAAAGAGGAAGGTAAGAATATTAATGTAGAAATATTTTAAACGAATAAGCAGAAGGGACATACCGGGGTCACTCCGACATCGACATCACAGTTTTTTAGTTTCGGCAAGGCATGGCGCCACTATATTGAAAGTAGTTATATTATATTTATAATTTTTAAATTAAATCCAGATTATTTCTCATCACACCAGTGTCACATTACGTCTGTATTGTTTCAGGTTAATTCACATACCCTTATTAAGCAAAAAAAAAGTTAAATTGTATAAAGAGTTTCAAGCATGCTGAAATCCAAGATGGCTACCTTTTTTTTGCTCAGAATTAGATGTAGATTGAGCTTGATTTCACTTACAACTTAACTGTAAAAGTTTGTCATTAATTTTGTTTGTTGACTTACCAAAGCCCCTACTTGAATTTGTCTTTAGCAAAGTTCATTCTCATATCGCTTATTTAGGTCCCATAAATGGTTGTTTTAATAAATTTGTAGGCCTATATGCCTATATTATATGAATATGAAGTATATGACCCACATAGCACATATGAGACATATGAAATGAAAATTTGGTGGTTGTTAAGGGTGAAACCAAAAAAAGTTAGTTATGAAGAGCAAACTTCAAATAACAAAATGAAACCAGAATCAACCTTCTAGCTTTAGTACTTTTTAAGCTATTAATTTTTGAAGTGCGAGTTGGTTTAAGTTTAAGCTTGGGCTTGGGATTTTTTATTTAATGGCAGTACTATTGACCATAGTTATGGACTACACCTCCACATTTGTGACTTCATTCGGCTGAACGTGTCAAGCGCTATTACTCTTGTTTAAATGATAATATTATGCAACTTTTATTTTCAGGAGTAATCATTGCTAGGTATTAAATTTTGTAATTTTAACAATATTATGCAATTATATTATAAATAAATTGTAACTTTTCTAGCTATGACTGCTATGTAATGCATTATTACATTTTGTGCAATATGGATGTTCTGTTTACTAAGTCTAGTGTCCATTTTATATATATATAACAGTCTATGTAAGGCAAGGCATCCCCTACAAATAATACTGGTTTGGGACTACTTATTGTGAACTTTTGCTGCCTTTGACAAATGTTGCCAATGATTTGATAGTGTGTTGGCACATTCATTCTCTTATTCTTATGAATGAAACGATCAGCATTGTACTATAGTAGTATAAGACTTGCCAGGACTGGAATGGTTGCCCATGACAACATTTTACACACTGCAAATTAGGATCATTTATAATATTGACTATCATGATTTTTAAACCTCAAATTAAAAACATTCTTTTTTAAAATACTTTTCGGTTAATTCCTAAACACAAGCTATCTTAAATATTTTGATGTAAATAGTGGTAATAATTGAATATTTCCTAATTATAGGCATCTTCTGCTATATAAGCAAAGGGGGCATGGCCCACATCATGGTCGAAATTGGGCTGAATAACCTTATGGGAATGTGGGTTACAGTTGAACGCCGGACACGACCTACATCAATAAGAATTGACACACATATAGATTAAGACCATCTGAAAATACATATACTCTACAGTTATGAAGTATCAATGAAAATAATTTTGTGGTTGGGGTCGCCACAACATGAGGAACTGTATTAAAGGGTCGCGGCATTAGAAAGGTTGAGAACTGCTGGATTAAGATATAATGCTTTTCACTATTTAATACAAAATATCTTGTTTTGAACTTCATAAAAAAATTTGGACAGAATGATGGCTAATATCATACCTATGAATTTCCAAAACTAAGGTGGATTGAAAAAGGCAAAAACATTACGTTGGAATGTAAGTCAAGATGTCCCCTATCATAAACATGTGGGAGGATACCACAATTATTAGTCTTTTTATTAATGACCACCAGCTTCCAAAAATAAAAAAATTCTGATTCTTTTTTCTGATTCATATTTTTTGTGTAAAGGGTGTCTTTCTGACATGAAATGTTGTCCATATAAATTGCAACATATCTACATTCTTGAGGTCAGGACCAATTTCATTTGTGAAAAAATGCATACCAAATTTTTGTCTCGTGTCCCAAAATTACCCATTATCGATAACAGTTAACTAAAAAATTAAACCAAAGCAATAAAAAAACTTAATATGCAATTAGGCCTAACACTAAAATCTTTCTTGAACTTTAAATTTTAGTTTTAAAATTTTTTTGTTTCAAAGGTGTATCAATTAAAATAAAACACATAAATTATGGATTACCGGTAATTATTTTTTTGTTCAATTAATATGATCAGGTAGGAATGGGGTGTGGTTAATATTGAAATTCGAATTTGTCATAACCAATACTTTTAAAACTAAAATAGCTTAATTATTCAATTAATGAAGCTATTGTAACACAATTTTCCACAATAACGGATAGTGTCCCACTGAAATTAAAGACATTCATTAATTAATTGTTACTTCCCGTTTAAATAATTGAACAGGCCAGGATTGAGGAAGGCATAAAAAATGACAGTGGCTACACAACCTCATTAGAAAAAAAATGATGAAATGCATCAGACATGCAACACACCTCATCTTAAAACTAATAAATCTGGAGTGATAATATTTTCCAAAGTAACAGATAGTGTCCCACTGAAATTAAAGACATCTTATTAATTATCATTAAAATAATTGACCTCAAAATTAAAACAAAATTGACGCAAAATCTACTGCGGCAGGCATATATATATAATATAAATACATCATTTTTAAACTAATAAAAAGCTTTTCAATTAAAAAAATTCACAGTTACAGCATGTGTCCTGATGAAATAAAAGACATTTTTATAAATTATTTTCATTTAAATAATTAACCTTCACATTTTAAGAACTATTCTGATGAAAGCTACTGTAGCAGACATATTGTTACATTTAAATACTTGATTTAATAACTAATAAAGTTATGATACTAAAACTGTACACAGTAACAGATCATATACCACTGAAAGTAAAGGCATTTTATTAATTATTATTTCCCATTAAAATAATTAACCTCCTCATCTTAAGAACAAATATTGGCATATTAAAATACTTCATTTTTAAACTAATAAAGTTTTTGTAATAAAATTTTATACATTAACAGATAGTGTCCAGTTAAAAGTAAAGAAATTGTATTATTTATTCCACTCGCTAGGTCTTAAATGCTTGTAAAGCTGTGTTTTGTCATGTTTGAAGTCAACTTTGTAATTTATTTTACTCCCCTGTAAAGAACGACAATTCTGGGTGACAACTAAGTAATAACACCAGTTGCAGTGCCTTAAAGGTACTGTGGTAAAGCAAGAGAGACAGCTTCAAAATTTGTATGGTACATGGTTGTCAGCACAGAAAATCAAGAGTTATTAATTTTTGGGTGTTGGTGCTCTATCATTAATGAAAGGACCATTTTGCCATACAATTGTAGGGGTAAAGATGTCGTTAGCGGCATGGTTCTTGACTTGAGTTGTCGCACTTTAAGCATGGTGATGTCACTTTGGGGAATCCCAAAACTGGACTTAGGGTGACAGGACCAACAGATGAACCTGAACGATGTATATAACTTTCCTGTTCTGCAGTGTGCATTTTCTTAAATCCATTTTTTATTAATTAAAACTCCAGAACATACACAATGTAATTGTCTTTGAATCTCTTTTCGGTATGTCTTTGGGATTCAATCTTTGTCTTTTCTGTTCGATTTCTACCCTTTCCCAAATGAATTAGTCTTTAATAATATGATTAAGCTGAAATCGTCAATATTTGACTCCTGTCCCCTTCACAGCTAGAGCTAATACTGTGATAACTAGCATGTGGAATATGACTAAAATCCTTGCTTTCATTTTAATTTATGTTGGATAATCCCAATAAAGAAAGTCTGTGTTGATTTTGCAACACTCCAGAGGGGGATCCACTCCAGCATGAAACATTAAGTTGGTTAAAAAATGCACTGATAAAAGCATGTTAACACGCAGATAAAAACATAAACAGGAAGCAAACTCACCTATATGTGATTTTGACGATTTTTAACTAGCGACAGATGACACCACAGAAAGGTATTTAAGGGCTCTTGGTCTATGGTTATGACAGTTAAGGGTTAATTACTATGTGCAAAGCTAAAAGCTCATAATATGTAGTCCCAAAACTGTATTATTTTTAGGACTCTTGCCTTAAAATTCATAGCTTAGGCTAGAAAGTTGATTCTGGCATAATTTTTTTATTTGAAAATAGCTCTTTACTTAAGTTCCTAGTATAAGTTTTTGAGTTACATATTTCATAATTTTTAGTAAGTCTGTTTTTTTAAGGCCTTACACCAAATTTTGCCCCTAGCCTAAATATTTATCTTAATTAGCCGCGTTTGGGCCCTACTGAAGACATAAGAATGGGTCATTTCGGGCCCCTAAGAATTAATTAAAATAAATCATTTCTACACTGATTAAATATAGACTAATACCCCAACATATTTACTTTGGAAAAAAGGTTAACAAACTAATTTCCGATTTGTGAGAACAAAGTCAAAAGATATTGAAAATATTGGCCAGATGTACCAAAACTTAAGGTGGTCCATGGGTCAAAAAAAAAATCTTTGTTTCTTAATTTAAATTTTTTTTTTTTGTTTAATGACTTTTATTGCAAAAAAAGTGTAATTTTGTACCAAATTTTACTGTTATGCAAAAGTTATTGAAGATAAGAGGTTTTACAATATGGCAATGAAATTTTTGCACACTGATAAATAATAACATTGTTAAAGCAATAATACAGGCTCACTGCATTATAATGATAGGAAAATCTGTAAATGACATGTATGCGGGGTCACTTAAAAATTTGGCAAAATTTTAGGGGTAACCTAAGTAAAAAAAATCATTTAAAAAAATCTATTGAATTGATATAAATAAGTATGTATGTACAAGTAGAGAATATCAATGGAAAAAAGCATGCAAAGTTTGAAGTCTGTTGATATAATACTTTTCCTTCTGATGTATTTGACATTCCTCAAAAATGTTAAAAACGCAAAGTGGAGAACAATAAAAAAAAGATTTAAAATGTTGTTTTAAAAAGTTACATGCTTTAAGAACAATATAGAATGCATAATCCATGAACATATACCAATCATGAATGAAAAAACAATTTAAAAACACAGATATAAAAGAATTTTTTTTAATAAAGTCGTGTTTTCAAAATATCAACCCCGTCCCAAATAAAAATATTATAATAAACAAAAAATAATTTAAAAATCCCTTCTGGACAGAGCTTATAGAAGGAGATGTTATTATGTAGATAATATCAATGGTAAAAAGCATGGAAAGTTTGAAGCCTGTAGCTATAATACTTTGCCTCATGATGCATTCGGCATTCCTGAAAATCTGAAAAAACGCAAAGTTGAGAAAAACAAAATATTTAAAAAAAAAATTAAAGACTACTTATTGAACAATATTGGATGCATATACCATGTACATATACTATTCATAAATGAAAAAAAAAATAAAAACACAGATATAAAAGATAGAAAGTAAATAGTCATGCTTTTAAAAGCAACCCCTTGTCCTAAATAACATGATAATATAAAAAATTCTGGAAAAATCTCTCATATGAGGTAATAAGATATAGCAGTTGCCCTCCTGAGTGAGCCAACTCCCAGAAAAGGACACATCAATGTCTACTACCTCTGTAACTTATCCTTGTAGGTTGGTAGTGATTGATGCAGGGTGGTAGTGGAGGATTCTGGTTGATCGTCTTTTGATGAATGTTTGGTACATCGATTATTTGGAAAAACTTCTCCATACCAGCATGCCCCAATCCAGTCACTAATGATGCTGCCACAGCTCTTTTGTTGACATAAAATTTTTCGCCATTGCATACAACTGACGTGTAAGGTGATGAGATGACAAAGTCACATACATTATGTACGACTTCAAAAATAACGCTAGTCCATAAAGTTTATTTTCATCACTGTGAACCGTAAAGTGTCCCTACTTGCATACTAGGCATGAAAACGTTTGAAAAATGGGCTGGAGGGCATCTATCTGCATGATAGATGAGGCAGAGAAGCCCAAGGTATGATTGATATTCAAAAGCATGAAGTTTGTTCTTCGAAGCAGACGATGCCATAGATTCTTCAGATATTGAAGCTGGCAGTGAGGCTGGTGCCTATGTTTGCGGTGAGGCTGGTGCTGAGGCTGGCGGTGAAGTTGGCACTATAGCTGGCTTTCTATAGTTGCTTGGACTTGGATCTCTATCTCTTGGTCTTGGGGGCAGTGATTTTCTGTATTATGAACAAACAAAAAATGTGTTCGTTAGCTTTTGAAACATAAAATTATAATAGTACGGTATTAGTCTTAGCAATTAGCTCCTAGTTATCCTGGCAAAGGTAAATAGAATCAGTATTATATATTTTTTTAATCTAAGGAAATGGTAAGGTTTCTACTATTACATTATTATTATTTGCTTTATTTTTTTAAAATACAAATTAGGAAATCCTAGACTCTAGGCCTATTCAAATTTTGCATTCATTTACATTTATCATTATTACTAATATCACCATCTCATAAATGTTGTCATTGACACCAAAATACAAATTGAAAATATCACACCAAATTAGACACGTGCAAGGACACAAACGTAAAGAAAAATAGTAATGAATTTATTGTAATATTTTTTAATAAAAATTTTGTATATTTAGGCATAAAGTAGTTTTCAATTTGATTCATAAGCCAGCGCTCATTACATTTTTACATGTGTGCGTATATCACTGTTTCGTAAAATAATACTAGTACTAGTAAGTAGGCCTAGTGTTAACGACACTGTATTATTATATTAAACCTAGCTCAACCTTCGCTCGTACACCTAAAACTAGCTAAAACTATTTATTATAAATTAAATTATACAACAATTAATTCAACTTACCTTTTCAAAGCAAGAAAAAAGTTCAAATTTGAATTTATTTGAAGACTGGAAAAGTAAAGTCGATCGATCAATTAAAGGTTACGCTAACTGGTCACAATGATTTTGGCAGACGGTCATTGCATTGTGGGATAGATTTCTGACTTGTTGACCAAATCTAAAATTAGCCGATTAATTGTGGATAAATTGGATAAAATTAACATTTAAATCTCGACCAATAAGAAAATTTGTTTGAGTTAAAGCATAGAGGGTTTGCCGAACAAAGAGCTCCCGCCAGCCTTATTTCTGAGCATTTTAGTGGGCGATACCATAACCGAGTAGAGAGGCTTAGCTTTCCATCGATACCAGATATAACTATATTGCATTGTAATTATATTATAAAAGCGAAGGCTGCACCAGGGGGTCTATGGGGCCTGAATTTTGCTCCCGAAGTCAAAATTTGCTCTTACCATACTACTTTAAAAATACATTTTTAACAACTTTAAATTATTTTTTTATGAAAATGGTAAGAACCAAATGTTCCTTAGATGTTTATCTAGTAAAATTCACCATAATCACATTTTAGATAAAAATTATATAAATATCGATATTTTCTATCGAGAACATGGGAAATTAAACACAAAATAATGCAATAATTGTAACATGCATTCAAGAATTAAACACTAGATTTCTCCTGGGCGACCAAAATTTCAGAGTCAGAAAGGTCTTATAATGTTTTCTAAACCAATATAAATAGGCAATTAACAGCTTTTATAACTTACAAAATCAAAACTATTACTTTATTATTTTTTCTTGGAATCTTGGTGCACAGAGTTTCACACATTCTTTTCCATTTATCCATTTTATTAACTAGTCTTTCCAACTTTTCCATGTATAATGTGGTCTTCCTCTCTCTATGAAATGTATATTTCTTGGCAGAGACTGTCTAGTAATATTAGATTTTGGATGGATCCTTTGCTCTTGATCTTTCCGATATAATCTTACTTGGGATACTTTCAAATCACCTTTTTTTAGCATCTTGTACAAACATCTTGATAAAACCTTAAATCTCTTAGTAATTTGTTTGGTTGCTTATGGTTCACACCCTCAGACAGGTACAGACTTTGCTTTTGTTATGTGAATTTTTTCAGCATGTATTATTTCCAGAATTGATATTGGTTGATGTATATTTATATTATCTTACAATTAAAGATGTTTGAGACCACAATCACTCTTGCATCATTATTTTTTCTATTATAATCCCTATCATTAATGCATATGTGTTACGATTTAGTGTTTTTTTTCCTCGTGTTATAGAAATGTTTTTATATTTTCCACAGGGAAGAATTGAGCAGAATCAAGAAAAGGCCAAAAAGGGAACAAAGTTAGAAAAAGAACAAGAAGTATGTTGCCTGAATTTTTGAGTTATCATCTGACTGATAATTGTAGTTGTACAAATTATTCAAGAAAAAAATATTTGAAAGTCATTAAAAAAATTTTGTATATACAGAAATTATTAATTTATTTTTCATATCTTTTTAATCTACTAGGTCTCTTTGAATCAATATGAGCAAGTGTCGCATGACTTGGAATTTGCAAGAGAGCTTCACAAGCAATTTGTTCAAATTTACACTGAGGTAATTTTTTTTATTCTTAACCTTACAGTATTCAAATTATTAATTTTAAAAATATTTTTTTATAAAGTTTTATATTTGTTTGTAATGGTCACCTCGTAAATGTGTTTTTTTTAATATTCTTAAATAGCATGAGAAAATGTCCAAAAAGCAGGCTAAGAGAGAAAAAGTTGAACGTCAAACCATTGAGATCAAAAGGATTAGTGAAATTCTTCAACTTCAGTCCTTGCTTGACTTGTTAGGTGGGGATAAAGTGAGAGAGGACTTCAAAACAGGCAAGCATGGTGCTGTGGTAAGTTTTTTAAAATAGAGAAATGTAGTATTGCTGACTTGTTTACTCTAGTTAGTAGCATTTGAAATATATTTTTAGAAGTCACTAGCAGCTTGTTACCTCTTATTTAAGTATATGGCTCGTTGAAAAACAGTACACAACAAAAGACGATACCATAAATTATATACGATAATAAAGAAAACAATACCCAAACTATGGCTAATTACAATTAATTTTATTAAGTTAATTAAAAATGACAAAATCAAAAGAATAAAAACTAAAGCTATATACTTAAAGTTTAATGATGACTTGTAGCGGTACAATGTTGAAAAAGATACAATGTTGTAAAAGGTACAATGTTGAAAAAGTAACGTACACGCCCGGCAAAATGTTAGTAAACAAACCTCTGTCTCGTATAGCAAATCTCTATCGTAATCATAACAAATATCTCTGCTCTCTCAATCCCTCTAGAGGTTTATATATAGCCTGTTTCAGAGACATTTCTTGAACGGGCTTACATATTGTATTCCTTTCTTGGTTAGTCTCGATTTTTCTACATAATTCTAATTATACAGACTATGGACTTTATTTGCAAACAAGGTCAAGGGAGACTATTTTTAATTAGCCACACCCAACGCTGTGCCGTACTTAGGGTCAGCTAAAGTTCATTCACAAGAAAAGATGAATGAAAGTAAACGAGACCCCTATAACACAACTGTATAATTTTAATACCCCAGTTTTGTTCTAGCACTTCCCTTCTCCCAAATACAGCTTGCTGTTGTTACTATAATTATGTAAAAAAAAAAAAAAAGAAAATGGGACTCCTAGACTTAATGCAGGGGTGGGCAACCCATGGCCTGCCATATTAAATATTGTGGGCCACCATATGTAACACTTCTTAGAAAAATTACAAAAGGTTAAAAAATCAACTGCTAGGCTAGTTCTAAAGGCAAAAAATGTGATTACTTCACACCAATAATTCATTCATTTCATCGGCTCCCTGTACAAACATGGATTGACTACAAACTCTCTATTCTCTGCCATAATTTATTCTTGAATTCCTTCCCTTCCTATCTAACCGAACTTCTCTCTGTCTATTCACCCCCTTTCACCCCCTTTGACAGCTTCGCTCCTCCACAGACGCGCATATTCTTTCTGTCCCCAACACACGCAAAAAAACAATCGGTGAACGAATTTTCTCTCTGTGCCCCAAACACTGGAATTCTCTTCCACTACACCCCCGGAATATACCGATCATCACTGCCTTCAAAACTGCCCTCAAAACACATCTCTTTAAACTCTGGTATCTTGATTCCCCCCTCTGACCGATAAACGATGCTGCTGGGTGCTGTCCATGGCTTAACATGTAAATATTTCTGGAATGGGTGGAGTGAATGTACATTTGTTTTGTTTTATTTAATTAATTTATTTTAATTTTTAAGTTCATGATTATGTTTGTTAATTTGTATGTACAATAAAGTACAACGTGACTGCGAGGTGAGGCCAGCCTAAAAGCTGGGGTACCGCGCTATATAAAACCACTATTAATAATAATCACACATAAACTTATTTTTGCATTCAATTAAGGATTATTTTCATTTTTTGGCATAAACGCAAATTTGAAATATATGTACATAATTTTTATGTGCTGCTATGTGCCATTTCGGTGTTCAAACCGCCTCGTTTTTGGACGGATTAAAAAATTAAAGTGAAATCAGTAATAAATTATAAAACATTTTTACTATTGACGACTAAAAATAAAAAAAAATTTGTAGCATGATGCAAAACTATGCTTAGGTATAGGCATTAATGCCTCCCTGCATTTTAAAGTTATAAAAGAAAATTCTGGAAAGGGGGCTCAGCCTCCTCCCCAAACCCCACCCCCCACTTTTGCTCGGGTAACTGATGGGCATCCTCAATTTCAGCTCCCTCACCCCATTTTCGTCTATCAAAGTGGCAAATGACTGGCACCTTTTTATTTGCAATAATGCACTGTATATAAATAAAATAAATTTCAGTCATCTACTTGGAGAAGTGAAATTTATTAGACATGAGATGCAAATAGTTGTTAAAATTTTTTACTAATACAATACAGTATTGTATGATTTTGAGATGGTAAATACTTTTCTAAGACTATAAATATTACTATTTTGGGAGTTTCAGTGTAATCAGTTCTGGTATTGCAAGTAAGTACATCAATTATCTGTACTGTAATATTTTATACTTTTTTAAGGCTGTTTCTTTTTTGTGTGTTGCTCGTAAAAATAAATATGTTCATCATTTTATGACTTCAGGTTTTAACTGAAGATAACCTGAACCAGCTTGATGAGCTTTACCAAGCTATTTCTCCATCTCGTGATGACAGTGGGGATGAATACCCTCAGAAGCTTACAACTGCTGCTGAACATCTGGTGAACATTTTGGAAGGCAAAGACAGACAAGTGGTTGGTACCACATACAAGGAGATAAAAGAGTTGATCACATTGATTAACGGGTGTGGCTATTTTGAGAGGGCGAAAAAACCTGTAACAGATGAAGGTTTGCACAATTCATTTCCTTTTTTTAAGTCCACGTATGTATTTTATTATTAAAAAATAGACTTCTAAGCTATCACTATATATTAATTTCAAATTTTCTATTAAAAAATGTTTACCCCGTCTTACTAGCTGATGATCAGTAATGTGCCCGAGCAAATCCTCTTAACACTTAAATGTTCTTGGTTTTCTGCCAATTTTTTCTCTCTCATTAGGTACCTTTACAATCTGGCTGGTTGTTCAGTGAATAACATAGCAGTAATAGCACGTTATATAATCATTGGATTCAGAATTGAATGATCTATTATTTGATACCAATTATGAGATCACAGTTAATTGTTTTTTTATTTATGACCAAAAGTTTACATTTTTAGGTGTGCTAAATAAGTGTTAAGTCCTAAGTTAAAATGTTTATTATAATCATCAATGACATCCATTTGTACAACACATACAAATTTCAAGCAATTTTGCCACTTTTAATAATACTTCTTTTTTTTTTTTTTTAAATAGCGCATTTTTAAAAACTATTATTTTTAATTAAAAAAAGTTTAAGTAAACCAGATAAGTACTTCATGAGAGAAATACGATTATTAAAAATTATACCACATTGGGTACAAATAACATAACGGTATGAAATATTACCTCTACTGTTTTCCAGAAACTCACTTATATAACAATGGCAGGACAAAATGTTCTCTCTATTTTATAAACCTAATAAAGATGTTCACATTATATTATATCTTTACTGTAAGTAACCATTTCATTTTTAACCTGACATTGCTATGTTATAAGCATACATAGTGCTGCGGAAAAAACAAGCATTGTCAAAAAAAGTTTGTCACTGCCTGATTAATTCTACTGAGGAACTAAAAAGAATAAAGCTATAAGATCTTTTTCATTATTCAAGAAAAGCATTTTGTTTTCTTCAGATTAAAATAAATATGCCTATAAGCCTAACACTTGAAAATATAATTGAAATGAAAGAATAAGTCTCTTACCAGTATTGGCCGCTGTTGTTGTTTTCTTCTACTAATCATATTGTTGTCCACATTATTTGTATATTTTTTCCAAAGCAGATATCTTTTATCCACTAAGTTTATCACAGTCCAACCAACCAGACACATTAGTCAAATTTAGCTTAGCTTACTATAACAGAACTATTTATATTGTTTAGATATTGAATCTGCCAGAGCCAATAGTTCATTTACCATAGTATTATTCATACCGATTTTATGTTGTCTGTTTTCATTTATCCTTCCTAATCCGTGATAACCAAGACATGACGGCCAGGCTTCCTGATCAGCTCCTACCCTAGCATTAAAGTCTCCCAGAATGTACAATGCTTTGGTTTTGGGAACACGTGATAATTCTTTGTCCAGGGTCTCATAGAACAAATCTCTCTCTTCTGGAGTCGAATGAAGAGTTGGAGCATACACACTGAATACGTTGACCTCGCCTGCAGATGATGACATCCGCTGTCGCAGAATCCTCTCCGATCCCAATGAAGGAGGTTCAATGCAGGCCAATAATGTGTTTTTTTACGGCAAATCCAACACCATGCCATCTAGCTGGCTTCCTTTATGCTACCACTATCCGCTGGGGTCTCTTGACGGCCTGCAATATCAATGTTTAATCTGGCATTTGACTTGGTAAGTTGGAGAGGCCCTTTCAGTATCTTGTAAAGAATAGGTTGTCCCCCACGACTGCTAACAATAATACAGACATTTCACAAAAACATGCACAGCACAGTAACTTTCAATGGCACTGTCTCTGAGTCATTCCCAGTTAGCGGCGGAGTAAAAAAGGGTTGTGTACTGGCACCAAAGGTCTTTTCAATTTTCTTTTCGATGCTCCTTCAATTTGCCTTCAGGGACTGTGAAGATGGAGTGTTTCTCCATACCAGATCTGATGGTAGGCTGTTCAATATCGCCCGCCTTCCTGCAAAGACCATAGTAAAAGAAGTGCTGATTCGTGAACTGCTATTCGCTTATGATGCTGCCTTAACATCTCACACAGAAGAAGGTCTGCAGGGGCTGGTTAATCGCCTATCACATGCTTGTAAAGAGTTTGGACTTTCGATTAGTCTACAGAAAACACATGTAATGATGCAAGAAGCTGTATGGAGATTTGGCAGAAGGGACAAGACATTGGTCGGCCACGCCTGAGATTTATTGACGTTAGCAAAAGAAGCATGAGGGAAGCCAATATTGAAAAAAAACGAATGGGAGTCCAATGCCGAACATCGCTCCAACTGGCGAACAGCAGTGTTTGAAGGAGCAAAAAAGGCAGAAAATAGTCAAAAAAAGGCCCTTGAAGCAAAAAGATCAATTCGAAAATAAAGATCTCACTGGGAATCAATATTCTCCTGCGAGAGATGTGGCCGTGTGTAGAACTATATAGCAACTCCATCATCTCACTAAGAGGGAAGGATGCCATGTATATATATATATATATATATTTATTCACACCGATTTTATGTTACATTTATGAAATAAGTATGTATTCTCTCCTGCTTCTTTTGATTACTTATTTATTTAGCTTGACCCAGTAACATATTTGCATGCACTCACTTTTCATGAGGTACAGAGGAAATAAACTGTACCTGCTTATCAGTAGTTTACTCATAGTTTTTTTCTCATAGAAGCTTACTATGTAGTTTTAGGTAATGTATGTTGGCCTAAAACAATTTATAACTTCCATTATCCAGTGAATAAACTCCTTTATATCCAGTAACAGATCACACAAATAGAGGTTGTAGGTTCTGAGTCCAATGAATGTTAGAAAATATTGTTTATCAGCTGGAATATCCAGTATTAAAATCGAGTTGGCTTAGTTGCCATAACATTGCAGCTGCAATTAGTGTTTACATTTACAAAGCACCTCCAGCCTTGTGGATGTAAACTGAATTTGAAAAGTGATAAAGATGAATCTTATCTTGTTTTCAACAGGTTTCAGTAGTTAGCTCAGGTCATATAACAGGAATAGCATTGTCATGATGTTGGGTTGTCTAATATCCTAGTCACCACTCTGATACTCTGAAATTATAATCAAAAATAAGCATTACATACAGGCTTAGGTCTTATGATTTTTAAAAATCGGAACAAAACTAAAAACATTATTCAATTAAAAATAATAAAAATTCAAAATTAAGAGCTGTTTTTAATCCAGACTAAAATATAGATCTAAAAGTCATCGCCTCATCTAAGCGTATCCAATGTAAACAAAGGAAATTTCAAACAACTATGCCTATGGGGAAAAAAAATATAATAAAATATGCATTTGATATACAGGAATAATAAATGACTATAAATAAGCTTAAATAGTTAATTTCAATAATTATGATGTCCACTGTTACAGTATATCAATGTAAACATAGTTTTTTACACTAATTTTCCATAAAAGTTGAGAGCGTTTTGACCGGATGTGACAAAAAAAATAATTTTACTGTTGATAGTATACTTTTGATCTGGTGAAAATATACAAAATCATCAGCAGTCATGTCTTCTTCTGAATTTTAACGGACTAGTATCACATTTTGACTTAAAAATATAATCACAAACAACGTTAGAAGATAAATTCGGAGCCTATTTGTCACAGTGATTGGTACCACCCTTCGCCGAACTTTTACAGGATTGGCAAGATGGCGGGCGAAAATAGCGCCATCAACAAAAAAAAGAAGCATGATGCTGGGGCTAATTTTTTAAAATTAAAAATCTAAATTTACGCTTAAAACTGAAATTTGTAAAAATTTATCCAAAAAATTATATTTGCCCGTTAAAAATAACTTTGGTATATGAAAATGTGATTAAAAAATCAATTAATAATCCATCGACCAGCCGTGCGCGAATAGTCAAGACAACGTACCTTGAGAGTTAAGAATTTTTGGATTGAAACGGAATCTCTAACTTTATGTCATTTTGAAAAATGTATACTTATATGAGGCTCTGAATTCATTTTTTAAATTTTTAATGTAATTATCAAAATGTCTAAAGGCAGCTTTGATGGCACAGAGGAAATCCCCTTTTTTTGGAATTTTTGGATTGCAATAGGAATCTTTTGTAACTTTGTTCTATGGTATGACATTTTTTAAAGATTTGAGACACTCTTAATAAAATACCTCATTTTGACATATTTTTAGTTGTGGCTGAGCCTAATGAGGAGAATGAAGAATTTCAAGACACTATTGAGGAACCTTCCCTTGATGATGATTTACCATCCAATAATGGACATGACCTTGTTACTGAACAATCACAACAGCAGCCCATTGATTTGACCATTGGAAATAGTGATGGCACTCAGCCACAAAGGGATTTACCCGCACAGGTATTTTTCTTTGGTGATGTAGAAGTGTAGATTCTTTAAGACAGCATAATGTTTATTTCTAATAATGATAACATAGCCAGAATTTTTCTTTAAAGCTTTACTAATATATTTTTATCTTTGCTGCTTTTTAAGTATGAATTTAAAAACAGTCATTAATTCCTATGGCTGTTTTTCGCGATATTCGCAAGATGATTGTCAGTCGCCTTGTACCATGGCGCTAATAGTCGAGAGTTTACTTTAAAAAAAATTCAAGATAGTCAATTCTACAAAAGGAATACTAGAGCCATTTAGAAATTATGCTTGCTATCTCATACATTATCCTATGGATTTTCCTCCTAATTATAGATGTTATCCATTTATAAGAAATTTTAACATTTCCTTATCATTATTTAATTTTTTAAAATGTGTAAAATTAATGCTTTTCTGCAGTTGTTATATGTAATATAGTGTAATTTTTGAGACTAATATGTTAACTCATAAACTAGGTGGGACAAGCATAACTTCGTTGCATATTTAATATTTTGTAAACTAATCCTTCCTCCAAAAATTTTATAGAAAATTAAGAAGACCTAATGGTTTTAAACACTGTTCACAAGATTTTAATCCCCTTATTCAACTGGGAGGGTTTTATTCATGGCAGAAATTGTTGGCCTAGCCGTGACTGACACTAATTAAATAATTTTTTGAACTGTATATAAGAATCTGGCTTTTTTATTAAGTCAGCTAGCTTATGCCCAAATAAACTTTGAAATCTATGTTTCTCATTTCAGCCCTTAAACACACTTGAACAAGATGCATTCTTTGCCCCAAGCAGCACATCGTATCAGGCTAACACAGAATCCCAATTTTCTCAGCCAAGCCATACTGCTGTTCCAAGGGTCCCAGACTATCAGTCTTTCACAAATAATCGACCGTTCCAGTTCATTCAGGCATCATACGTTATGCCAGATTCATCAGGTATCATTTTCTCTTTAATGGCACTGTCTCTCTGCCATTTATTAGTTTAATACTTATTTTATAATTCTTATTTGATATCTAACAGAAATGTAACTTTTCCAATTTTTAGTGGACCTCTGCCTTAATTTAGTCAACTAATTCATATATTAAAGTACACCACATTTGATTAAATGATTTTTCCCTAAATAGATGCACACAATTTAAAAAATTAAAAGAAACTCACCCACTTTTGCAATCCTGAAATATTTTTAAGAGCTTGTTTATTTTTACAATATTGAAATATAAATCTCCCCAGAAATTTTTTTGGGTTTCAATAAATTTCATGCCCTATTTGTCCGCCGATTCATAAGGCACTTCAAACCTGCTTGGAGGTGGTTGTAGTCATGGTAGACGTTTACAGACCTGCGAACCCTTCCGGTTTAATCGGAATTATACAGATTTTTTACCCCTCATTCCAACCTTCTGACAAACCCCTTAAAATTCTGATTTTCAGAGCATTTTAATTTTCACCCGTCATAAAATCCGAAAGCGATACAAAATAAAAAATCATTTTGATAATGCCACTTCTTTTGTTGTTACGAAGTGTCTATATATGTCTGGCGACCGGACGAATAAGTTCATGAGGTAATATGGGATCCTTCCGTCTTTGTGAGACGATGGAGTAGCTATATAGTTCTACATTTTGACGAGTGGCTCACTAGGCCAATCCTAGAATGGCAATCACGGCCGCATCTCTCGCAGGAGAATGTTGAATCCCGGTAAATTCTTGATTTTCGAATTGTTCTTTTTGCTTCAAGGGCCTCGTTTCGAGTAACTTCTGCATTTTTCACTCCTTCAAACACTGCTGTACGCCAGTTGGAGCGATGTTGGCCAATGAACTCCTATTCGTTTGTTTCAATATTGGCTTCCCTCATGCTTCGTTTGCAAACGTCAATAAATCTCAGGCTTGGCCGACCAATGTCTTGTCCCTTCTGCCAAATCTGCATACAGCAGAATCTTTGGGATACGTCCTTCCTCCATTCTCCGTAAAGACCTAACCAGCGAAGGCGTCTCTTGATAAGAAATGAGAATATGCTAAACATGTGTGCACGTTCCAAAACCTCCATGTTAGGCACCCTGTCTGCCAACGAATGCGTAAAATGCGACGCAGACATCTTTGATGGAAGCTGTTGAGTTTCTGCTCCTGACTGGTATATGTGGTCCACACTTGCTACCATATAGTAGCGTGCTAAGCACACATGCCTGATAGACATTTTATTTTGTTTTATCAGTTAGATTAAGATTATTCCACACCAGATTATTCAGTTCAGCCATAGTTGCTGCTGCTTTTGCAATCCTGATATTTATCTCTTCATCAACGGAGAGAGAACTAGAAATTTTGTATCCCAGGTATATGAAATGATCAACAGCCGAAAGATTATGACCCTCAATAGATATGATTGGAGGGGACGGTGCTTCTTGCATCATTACATGAGTTTTCTGTAGACTAATCGAAAGACCAAACTCTTTACAAGCATGTGATAGGCGATTAACCAGTCCCTGCAGACCTTCTTCTGTGTGAGATGTTAAGGCAGCATCGTCAGCGAATAGCAGTTCACGAATCAGCACCTTTTTTACTTTGGTCTTTGCACGAAGGCGGGCGATATTGAACAGTCTTCCATCAGATCTTGTATGGACGTACACTCCATTTTCACAGTCACTGAAAGCAAATTGAAGGAGCATCGAAAAGAAAATTGAAAAGAGCGTTGGTGCCAGTACACAACCCTGTTTTACTCCGCTGCTAACTGGAAATGACTCAGAGACAGTGCCATTGAAAGTTACTGTGCTGTGCATGTTTTTGTGAAATGACTGTATTATTGTGAGCAGTCGTGGGGGACAACCTATTCTTTGCAAGATACTGAAAAGACCTCTTCGACTTACCAAGTCAAATGCCTTGGTCAGGTCTATGAAGGCAATATAAAGAGGCATATGCTGTTCGCGTCATTTCTCCTGCATTTGGCGTAGCGAAAATATCATGCCTATTGTTGAGCGACCACTCCTGAAGCCACACTGGGACTCTGGGTAGATGTGGTTCGCAAGGCTCTGCAATCGTTTAAGGGCAACACGAGCAAAAGTGCTTCCAACTAAGCTAAGGAGAGAAATACATCCGTAGTTATTGCAATCACTTCGGTCCCCTTTATTTTTATACAATGTTACGATGTTGGCGTCTCTCATGTCTTGGGGAATGTGACCAGTTTCCCAACACAGACAGAGGAGCTCATGTAAGGGCTGAAGTAGGATAGGTTTTCCATTTTTGAGGATTTCCGCTGGGATGCCGTTGATCTCTGGAGCCTTCCCATCCGCAAGGTAATCGATGGCTTTTTCGAGCTCCTGTAAAGTTGGCTCTTCATCCAGTTCATTTTTTACTGACAAGGCAGGAATATTATGGAGAGCGGGCTCAGTAACTACATTCATTGTAGAGTATAGCTCAAGATAATGCTCTACCCAACGCCGGAGTTGATCATTTGGATTCTTGACATGGCTGAATCGTACACAGCATCTCGTAAATGACTCCACTTAGAGTCAATAGTTCCATCGTGTGATCCTTTAGCAAGGGTGTCCTGCAACACTTTTGAGAATGGCTGCGTTTTTTCTGGGATGTTTATTCGTGGACGACACGTCTTTTAAGCATTATGCAATTTTTTGGGCATTAGTCGTATCTTGCTTGTCACTAGAGAATGATCCGTGTCACAGTCGGCACTATGGTAGCTGCGTGTCTGAAGTACACTGGCTAGCTCCAAGCGCCTAGTAATGACGAGAGCTAGCTGGTGCCAGTGGCTGCAACGTGGGTGTCGCCATGACACCTTTTGGATTTGTTTACATTTGAAGAAGGTATTTGTAACACAGAGACCATGGGAGCAGCACAGCTCTAGCAGACGTTGTCCGTTTTCATTAATCCTTCCTAATCCGTGATAACCAAGACATGACGACCAGGCTTTCTGATGTTCATGAGGTATTCGCGAGATAATTGTCCGTCGACCTTGTACCGTGACCGCTAATAGTCGATGAGAGTTTACTTCTTTTCAAAATATTCAAGATTGTCAATTCTACAAAAGGAATACTAGAGCCATTTCTGGTATTTATAATGAACAAATGGTTAAAAAGTCTTAAATATCAAATAAAGTGTGACATGAGCGCCAGATGAATATCTCCCGCACTATTTGTCTGGTCGCCGGATGTGTAGACACAGCCTTGTTTTTATCGAAGCCACCCGCGATCTCCAAAATATTCAACTTCAATCATCAATTGATCTGATCGTACTCATCCTTTTACTTGGCTTAAAAATAATTCAGTTTTGTTGTGACTTTTTTTTTTGTTAAAGCTTTTCTTAATTAAATGGATAAATCTATTGAAAGTGGTACAGATTTTTTTTTCTTGGCAAGTCAGCAGGTCTGAGTTTATCTCTCTGTAGACAAGACAACATTTAATGTCATGCTATGTGGGAAGGAAATTAAACAAATTAATGTCATGCTATGTGGGAAGGAAATTAAACAAAATATACCTAGTTTTTAAAAGTTTAGCCTGTGATGTTGCAGTGGTTGTTGCCTCTATTATTTATTATCTGCTTATATTTTTTCCATACAAGTGCTAGTTCTGTTTTCATAGAAAATTTGGCGAGTTTATTAAGCTATTTAAATAAATTGAAATGGTTCTATGGCCCTGAAGCATAATTACTTCTTCCATCAGTTTCGGTAGTGGTTGATCCAGCAGTGATAGCTGCCCAGCCAGCAGGTGCCTCAGGCCTGCAGTTCATGTCCCAGGGATTTGATGCAGTTCCAGTTGTTCAGGCCCTTCCACAGCAGAAACAGCAGGATTTGTCTCACAGCACTGTCAATATGCAGCAACATCAGCAAACTGCAGCTGACTACAATTCACCAAATTATGCTCAGGCTGGTTTACAGCAGGTAGGGGCGAACAGTTGTTTCTTGGATTATTAGTATTCCAGACCTGTTTACTCTTACGATTTTGGCGTACAATGTACGATTTTTAGATGTCTTTTACGATTGTACGCCGAGACCCCCCAAAACTACGATTTTCAGAGACCCGGTGAAAAAATATTTGTGTAATTTTGTCCGATTTAAAAAAAAAAATTAAACATTTTCGGTTGTGGAAGCTTTAGCCCTTATGGCCCCGCATTGAATGGACCCAGAAAAACGATGGGTTTTTGTATATTTTTTTAATAGTTGGGACCATCCTTCATTATATTATATACGCACTGAAAGGGGAGGTGGCGGTTGTTGATTAAAGAGATTGGTGGCATACCAGAAACACGGGTTGGGGGGGGGGGAGGAAAGGTGGGAGTTTCAAAAGATATAAAAATATCACCGCAACGCATCCTATTGATGGTGGTGATGGTCTTAGTGTTGCTTTGCGTGTCACAGTGAACCAGCTAGCTGTGTCAGCAGCAATCTTTAGGCTAGTCGCCTGGCAACAACTTCACTCACCACCTCATTGGACTGCTACTGCTAGCAAGCGTGTGTTCGTCTGAACCGCGGGGATTGTGAAGAGAGAAAACTAGAGGTGTGAGATTTAGTCAGTGGCATTAAAAAAAATATTTTAGATCTCGCAAAGCAGCTCTATCCAGAGGCGTAGCGAGCGGGGGCAGGAGGGGACAGATTCCCCGGGCGCCAGCTAGTTAGGGGGCATGTTTCTTTCAGAAATTTTCCCCAGGGGGGAGCACTTCAGATTTTCGGGGAAGGGTTACTTCAGATTTTTCGGGGGTTGGGGGGGGGGGGCAGTGCCAGCAGTTCCAGTTGATTTATTGTTGGACATATTTTTGCTCCTGGGGGCACTTGGCTTTCCCCGGGGGAGGGGCACTGCCCCCCCCTCCCAGAGATATAGCTGAAAGAAACCCTGTTTAGGGGCGCCAAAATGTGCTTTGATATTATTTTATTGATGAAAATAATGGGCTTGAGAGTTGAAAAAAAGAAAAAGGGGCATTTTAAAATGGATCTTGTCCCCGGGCGCCAAACACCCTCGCTAGGCCTCTGACTCTATCCCCCTCAACGATTTTAATACAATAAAACAGTTTTGTATCACTACTGCTACTACTGTGCCCCCCCCCCCTCATTTTTGTTTACAGCTTGTGGTAGTTACTAGTCTCTGATACTATAGCAGTGGTCGGCAAGCCGCGGTTCGTCCAGACTGCGGCTCGGCCAGTCAACTACAAAGCGGTTTTTACTCCGAAAAACATGGTCCTTGACAGGTTCTTGAAAATAAATTTGGCTCGCAAAATTTGTTTAATGTTCCTGCTGCTGATTTGGGCTCTTTTGACCAATGAGTATGCTGACCACTGCTCTATAGGATGTGAACGTAAAAACTCAGGGGCATATTGGATAGGCGAGGGCACTATGTTTTTCCTATTAATGAGGGTGGGGGAAGGTGGGTTCGTCACCAGCACGGAAATACGTGTTAGTGGACTACAGTGTGTTGTCACTATGTCGTGTTCAATATGTCTACTACAGCGACCTCTTCATGAAAACACAAAGCATTAATATACGGTATACGATAAATGCGAAGCATTGTGGTGATATTTGTATAGCCTTAATAATAATAATAATAATAATAATAATAGACCTAATTAGAATTCGTGGATTTCAGATTTTCATTTGGATGGCCCTTTAAGTTGGCAAGGCGTGCAGCTGGGGGCGAGCTAGGAATCATTGTTAACTTTTTCATTTTTATTTGAAATGTTATATATGGGCTGTCCAAACAGCTCTGGCGCTAGAATTTGGCTGCATTGACCTATGTGCACATTGCGTGATTTTAATGTTACCATTATCATTAATGGAATCGGCAATCATTCTTGTTTTCGGTTCCGTAGTTGACCTCACTTAGTATTTTACGATATGACCTCGACAAAAAGAAAGGCTCGCGGAATGGGCGATGAAGAAGAAACTTCTCTTTCTACCGATAAACATCCGATTCAACAACAGAAAAAGAAAGTTTATCAGCAGATAGTCTTGCTTGAATATCAGACTAAATTGACTGGGTTGCGTTCTTTGTCGAATGGTCCATCATGCGCGCACTGCACAATTACACAATCTGCAAGTCGGACTTTTCATGAACAATCTATCAGGGACAAAAGGAGTGGTGTTGATTTAGGAAATGTTGGGTTTGGCGTGGGTCTAAATACTTAAATCTATACAATCAACACCGCGACATTTCCGTAATGACAGGTTGGGGGGGGGGGCTGTTCCTCGGCAGAAAGAACGTACGTTATTTAAAAAATCTACAATATTCATCTCCTAACTCTGAAAGTCCAAAAATAGCATTCTATTTATATCTCGAATGCTGTAAAATACCACCCGATGTTTTGTAGGAATTATTGCGGTGATGTTGTCAAGATGTATTTTCACCAATAAACTCGTTAGCAGTAGTAGAGAAGTTACAGTTGTGTTTAGTCATGAGTGTTCAGCGCGCGTGTGACGCATATTTCGTTGGGCTACGCCAGTGGTTCTTATAATTTTGTTTCCCGGCGCATATGTCATATTAGGTTTTCGCCAGGGTTTCCTGGATGAAATTCTTACAAGTACACTTCGAAATAGGGAATACACAAATAAAATAAAGGGTGGGATAAAAATAAATATATCGTTTATGGAGGTAACAAACATGGAGGTATCTACAGCAGATGCAGGTCTTCAAAATGAAGTGACCGCAGTTTGCAGTTAACGTCAGTCGAATACTGATTACCTTACAGTTCCATTTTTTAACAAACCGCTGAACTGGATGCCACTGAACACGCTATACCAGTAGATGCTGTATACATTATATATTATGTATACTGTATATTTATGTATTTACTATTAAGATACTGCATTGTACGATTTTGAGACAATATTGTACGATTTTAGGAGTTTGAGGGTAAACAGGTCTGGTATTCTGAGGTTTTTTCCATTGCATGTATTTGATTAGATTGATATAGATATTCTATATGAAAATTTCATAATGAAATTAAATAAAATTGAACTATTCCCCTAAATAGAGCTTGACTTCATCAGAACAGAACCACAAATTTTAACTCTCTATCTCCAACAATAAAAAAGTTATTAATTTTTTTTTAAATCGGGAACAGGGTCAATTTTTAGAAGCCAGGAAAGTGTAGTTTTGACACCCGCTATCTCCTAAAATAAAGTTAGAACTTTCAAATCTCTTGCCCACACAACCAGTTATACATATAACAAGCTCAATTTTTTTTAGGGTTGTCACGAAAATGTAAATATATTTTTTATTCATCCAAAAACGAGTTGAAGCTCAATTTTACAAAATATTAAAATGGAGACAAAAAGTCAATTTTTAGTTCATTTTTAAAAAATCATAAAAAATCAATTAAAGTTATTCTTAATATACAGGAGTCAAGTTAAAGGTAATTTAAAGCACAACAATGTGAAATCATCAGGGCAAAGGTGAAACCAACAAAATAATTTACATAAATTATTTCAGCAAGGCATGTACACAAAAATTGAGAATTTCAAACATTTTTGAAAATTCATAAAAAATTAACGAAGAAAGATATCTTTACGAATGTTACACAGTATTGTAGAACATGTTAATCTTTTCAATAATAAAGCAACAGACTTAGGTTTCGGAAACAAAATTCTTCTCCACATATATTTTAAAAATGGGTATTTTTGCACTGAAAATTTATACTTTCCAGCACCTTAAAAATGTTCATAATTAGAATTAGATATACCGGGTATATATATCTATAAAATTTATGGAAAATCTGTAGGAAACATTAACTATGAATTAGTAATGAAAATCAATTTTCTGCCTTTATTAGCATGTCTGTATGGATTTAGTCAGTTTATAGACATTTCCCTGCACTGCTTTAATGAGACATTTCTGTAATCTGTACTTGTACACCAACAACCTGGGAGAAGAATATTTTATTTAATTTGTACCGTATTAATTAAATTGTATTTAATTTATATTATTTAATAGTAATAGTTATCAACTTAGCATTTATGATCATGTCATTGCTATCAATATAATAACAAAATGCAAATATAACTAATGATATTACAAGCGGTAGTACTAACCTGTACTGTTGTACAGTGTTAGCGTTGTTACATGGCATGTTTTGGCAGTGGTCTGGGTCTTAAGTTGTTTTCAGTTTCATCCGCTGAAATATGAAATGTTAAAATTAAAACTCAAAAGTTTACAAGATTTTAACTGGCTCCTATTTGCCCTAATTAATATGCATACTGCATACACGGTATATAATTATTATAATTGATAACGTTAGTAAAGTAAAGGAGTAATTTTTTGTGTAAGGTTAATTTTGGAGTTCGACATTTACGAAAGGGGGTGAAACACTAGGTATCGGTAAATAATTTTTAAAACTAGCTTTATAACTTAGAAAAATAAGAATAATCAGCATAGCATCACTTTCTTATGCATCATACCATATACATTTATTTATAAAATGGATTAACTATCGAATTTCTAGTTTAAAATAAACTCCACTAAAATTAAAGCATCCCGTTCACCCTCGCGACAATTATGCTTCGACCCAACATGAATGCTTCGTTCCAATCGGCTGAATTATCCGAGTTAAATGATTTACTGCAGTTTCCAAACAAATTGCATAGCTACAAAATAAATACCATTAAATATTTAAACATTTCATTGAACTAATTATATTTTCCTTTTTTTTCTCCGCTATCGTAAAATAAATACAGATGATTTTAAAATAAAGCTTGATCGTCATTTTTCACTAGGCGTAAGAAACACGCATTAGTTATCGATAAGCCCACACTAAATTAACAAATATATGAAATAAAAAGCTTTCTATATAATTTAAACATTCCCAAACTAAACAATAATGTTTTAACTTACCTATTTCAGTTTAAAATCCAAGAAAAGGCACTAAATTTAAGAAGATCTTAGATAAAATTAGTCATCGCCTACTGGTTTCACAGATCAGAGTTCGCCGTGGCGGGATCGACTTGCACCTTTTCTTAGCAGAAGGCGTTGACTTGGTTCCAAGCCTTTACGTGTTTACCCCATAAATGGGGTGTTCACAAAACTATAACAGTTTTATAGTAAATAGGATTACCTTTCTGAATATATATTTTTGAGAGCCGTAAAGTGATTTTTTCACATAGAAGACGCAATTTTTATGTTAAAATCAACGCAATTTAGCATTTATTTACAGTTTAAAGCTCCAAAAAATACATCATATTAAAGAACTACTTTTCTACTTTCTAGATCAGTTGTTACTGAACGCACCTGTATAAGGGAGCATTTGCATAGCGAGCTGGCGCGACCCAACCAAAAAAATAAATAAATTTCTCCCCGAAGCGTAAATTTCGCCGGCTCATTTATAATACCTAATTGATATAATTTTGGCTATGCTAACGATATGGTAATCATAATGAGGGTATTAATTTTACTTTTTTATCTTTTTGAACATGTTTTTTTCTTTAAAACTTTTCTTCAGTCTGACAGCTTGTACACTGCACAAGGTGTAGATGAATCAAATCAACTGTCATCTCATCCAGGCATTATTGGTCACATAGGGGATGATAATGTTGGTCCTTATGAGATTCCCCCAACCATTCCCATGCCACCATCACAGTCACAGGTATGAATGGTTAAAATCTCTCACACTCAAAATTTTGTTGATTTCTCTGTGTAAGGAAACAAAAATGCCTGGATTAAAAATGTGAAAGGGCTTTTTTTTTTTTTTTTTTTTTTTTTTTAAAAAAATTTTATTTTTTTTTTATAAAATCTCTCACACTCAAAATTTTGTTGATTTCTCTGTGTAAGGAAACAAAAATGCCTGGATTAAAAATGTGAAAGGGCTTTTTTTTTTTTTTTTTTTTTTTTTTTTAAAAAATTTTATTTTTTTTTTTTTTTTTTTTTTTTTTTTTTTTTTTTTTTTTTTTTTTTTTTTTGAAAAAAATTTCATTATTGTATTGCATTACATATTTAAGATGTGCTTGGAGACTAGCAGTTATCATAAAGTGTATTTTTTCTGTGTGTGTAATAAATTCAATTGTGAAATGTATTTTTTATAACTTAATTTTTACATTTTTTACATCAAAATAAGTCAATATTTCTAGATATGCATTGTTAGTCCATATTTGTGGATGTTTAAGCTTGTTTTTTTGTTTGTTATGATGCATAAAATTTGAAAGACAAATATTTTATAACCATTTTGAGGGCTTTATGAAGGGCATTTTGAGATTTATAACAGACCCACATTTTTTTGGTGAAAAGTGTGCATAAAACCTGTGACAGGGAGAATGGCTTTGAATATTTAGCCACATTGACAGATGGTACTTACAAATAAATTAAAAGTGGTTGATTTTTATACTCGACTACTACCCCAACTGTTAGCTTGTATTTCAAAAAGGGATATATGGTTCGCAGGATCAAAGTCAACTTGACCAGCAGCAACAGCAGCAGGAGAAAAAGTTCCAGATGAATGCCAGCGCACCAGTATTTCAGTCCATGTATGCTCAGGTATGAGAGCTCAAACTGTCAAATCACAGCATTTCCTGGTGTTTTCATAAAAAAGAACATTTCTTCTATGTACTAAATATAGGAATGGGTTCAAGAATATCCTGAAATTTGGCACAGGATATAAAAAAAAAAGTGTTTTATGGATTGTAATTTTAACAATTTTTAAAAAATCGTTTTTTGTCCATGATGTTCCCTACATTTAAAAAAAATCCAGGCATTGGTGTTTTTGTCAGCACTGAGTTAATCCCAGGTTATGGAATACTTACTAATTTTCTGAAAAAGTTTTTTCAAAGCTAGTTGCTATTGTAAATTCAGTAGTTGTCTAAAAAATCATAGGAATTCAGATGACATTTTAAGAGCTTCTCTGCACATCTATTTTAACCATATTTTTAAATATTTTTTTTTATTAAGTCTGTGTATACTCAAATGTTGTGTTCATTTCTAGACATTTGGAAGATAAGTATTCATTTTTTTCAATTGGTGTTTGAGAGTTAGAGATGCTGGGATATGAGAGAGAAGCACCTTTTGTTCCAAAGTAATACTGTATAACTTTCTTATGATAAACATTATTTTGTTTAGGGCCAACCTGTTCCAGTCTCAGCACCACCACCAACTTCAGCTGTAGCAGATCAACAGGTTTCTACTCCAGCTTCTGAATTTACCAACACATCAGCTCCAAGTGGAGATTATGGTCAGCAGGGAACAGATTTTCAGCAAAACTATCAAGGTAGTTGAACAAAAGAGACTCTTTTAAAATTTTGTGTCGAATTTATGAATAATTTTTAACGTTGATTTTGTTAAAAACGCTTTGCTCCAATACTTATTCAAAAGTTAGTTTGTCTGATTATTTCTGTAAATACATGTAAAATCAACAACAAAGTGCCTTATGAGTCCCAAACACCACTTTCACATATTCTTAGCCCTTCTCATCCTCATGGTTATACAACATTGGCTATTTTTTATTTAGGTAATAATGGATTCCAAAATTATCGTGGTCGTCCAGGTTTTAGAGGTCGTGGCAATGGTGGAAACAGAGGTACTGCTGCAGCAGGAAATCCTGTTCAAAATGGTTTTGGGGGTCGTGGAGGAAGTGCCCCAAATACAAATAATAGTCGTGGAGGGAGAGGTATAATCCTTTAGGACTTGTACTCTTATCTATCGTAAAATTATACAATTATTTTTCTTGTTTGGCACACATTTTAAATGATTATTGGTTAAACTTCTTTGTTCATTCAGAATGTTAACAAAATCAGTTCATACAATTCACTTTCTCATATTATTGCTTATTAACTTTTGCTTAATCATGACCTTTAAGTAGAATTGAACTCTCTTTAAGTTCAAAATATTGAACTTCAAAATAAAATATTACTTAGTTTTTACATTTATCAACATTTGCTATATTTTTTAACTTCTCCAGGTGGCTCTTATCAAGGTTATCCTCCAAACAACAACTATCGACCTGACAGTTTCCAGGGAGGTTACAACTCTGGAGCAGGCTTTACTGGAGGAAACTACCAGAAGCGAGGTGCCCTGAATGCTGGAAGTCAAAGTGGTGGGAGTTACTCACGTGGAGGAGCCACTGGAAATGCAAGGGGCGCGACTGGAGGTAAGAAAAGTTCTAAAGATCTGATAGAAATTTATATCATGTTCAATTAGCTCCTGTTGCAAATAAAATATGCTCTATTTAATCTGTAATTGTTACTGATTGAGGTCTGATACATTTTATATTTTAATCCTCAATAGCTGTTCGTGGCGGTGGAGGTGCACCCAGAGGAACTAGTGGAAGTGCTGCACCAAGAGGCTCGCCAAGAGGGGGTTTTAATAGACCACAGCCTGCCCAGTAAACTGATACTTGCTTTTTTCCCCCCCCCAGACGTGCAGTTGGCCTTAATAAAGGGCAGCTGCTCTATAAACTTGTTGCTTACTGATCTTGAAGGGTTTGAAGCTGTAGTTTAGAAGTCAGGGAGCGTGTTAATTACATTTTTTAAAATTTGCAATCACTGCTAACAACCTTAAGAGAAGGTAGTTAAAACAAAACAATCAAGGCACTTCGGTTGTATCGTTTATTTAAAAAAAAACTGATTAAACAAAAATTAATAAATATGAATAAAATCATTTGGTGAAGATGGGCAGGATTGCTGCAAACTTCACCATCTCATCTTGTCACACATAGGAAATCTTTTTAGTCCTCACTGAAGTGTTTTTACATTCACAAATTCATCGTTTTTTTTGCCTGGTACCACAATGGTTGTTGTTTAATTGTACAGTACTACAATCTTAAAAAAAAAAGTTAATATAATGGAATAATTTAAGAAAAACTCATATTATATTTACGATTTATAAGGTTGTGATCAAGATCGACAATGGCAACATGCCAATATGTAAGGCCAGATGGAAAATATTTCACTTAAGCTCTGAGCACTCGAGGTCTATAAAGATTTCCATTCTATGTAAGGTGAATAGATGCCTTAGTGTGACTTAGTCATCTGTTCATTAATTTGTTGTGTGGCTTTGATGTAGGAATTTTTTGTGTAAGAATCAACGACAAACAAGACATACTGAATCATTGTTTCTTTTCATATTACTGTAAGAATTAAAATTCATTGTTTCTATTTTTTTTTTTTAAAGTTAGTGTTGGCTGCAAATTTAATTAGCATCTTGAATTATGTTGTGTGGAGGATGTTCATTTGTGAGGAAGATGAAACTAAAATTGTATTCCGTTAGTGAGTTTTCTAAACTTTAAAATGTGACTTATTGTTCCAGCCACATTTTGTACTAATTCATGTTTTATGTTTTATTTCAAGATCATCCCCATAAAAAACCCAATATTTAGGGTATATTATGTACATTTTGTTTTTGTGCTGCTCAAACTGAATGGAATCTTTTAGCTACATAATCAATGGTAAATTCAAAATTTCACATTTGGGACATGAATTTTCCTGATAACTCTTGTTTCAACTCATTAAATATGACAGCATAAGCCATCAGAGTCAGAAATGATCAACATTATTTTTGCAAGTTGATAACAAACCTGAGAAAATAATGAACAAGAGTTGACCATCAGCTAACAGTATTATTTAGTGAAAATGGTCTACACTTGTGATGGCCTTTTTATTAATAAAAAAAAAAGCAGTTGAAATGTTAGTGTCTTTAAATTTCTGTTTTATTATTTTTATTGTGCTCGTGGAACAGCATTTTTTAAGAAATAAAAAAGCTCTGCCCACTCCCACTTCTTTTTCTTTGGGAATAAAAGTTCATTGAGCAAAATAATGCATTTGAGTTACTAAATTACTACTAATTAATTACTAATACAAATAAGTTAATAAACTACCTTAGTTTTAGTAAGTTTTGTTTTACTTTGTAAAGTAACATATTTCTAGTTACACCTTTAGTTTTTCAAAACTTTGTTGGTATTTATAAAAATGTATCAGTCATAATTTTTATTAATTATTCTGTCTCATTTTAGTCCTAATTAGCCTAAGCATAGCAAATGCCATGCTGCTCCTAGTGAGCACATCCCCTTCCCACTATACATTATACAGTGTTTATTTTAGCCTAACTCTACTAGTACTAGTAGATAAAACCAGGATTACCCAGGTACCATAATAATAGAAACCATGTTGCACTATCTACCTGTTCTTGATTTCAGTATTTTATTTATTCAATATTTTACCCCTTGCCTATTTCAACCCTTAAAACAATTAACATGTGGGACATTCCTAGAGCCACCCAAGCTTCCAACCATTGCGAAGGACACTAACATATCTCTTACGTTTAAACAAATAATGTCAAATTACCAAATTAAACAATAGTTTTCCACATAACCTGGTACCTATCAATATTTAACTGCATTTGCTGTATAGTTCAAAAACTATATAGCCGCACTGTTGGATGAAAATAAAATGTGAAAGGGGAAAAAAACTTTAAAACTTTTCAATATTTTTGAAATAACACCATGCCACACGAATAAAATACAGCCATATTAAAAATGGGTGCAAAAAAAACAAAAACCGCATGAACGCATGGCAGCTCAAAACAATTTCTTTGTAGTAATTTAAGTAATACTCCCTAAATTTGATAACTTGTAATTCTAGTGTGGAGGGATTTTTAAAACATGCGTCACCTAAGGTATTCTTGGGCCCGTATTTATGATCATGCCAAATTTGTTGGAGAATTGAAGAGTATTCTAATTTCTATAGCTAATTTTAATATTATTTATATTATATTAAGAGTTGAACTCCAGGGTTATTACAGAAACCAATTTATGGTAACAGCTTCAGGCATTTGAAAATCTTCTATTCCACGCCTGACGCCGAATCTCTCAAAATTTGCATGAACTTCCTAATCTACTAAAGGGCCATGACAAAAAATCCCTTAAGTAACCCACATTATAACAATAAGAATCCCAGTTAGTTCTTCAACTTCCCTCCCTTTTTTATTACCTTTTCCATGCATCAGCACATACTATTTTTCACGCCCCACGCATATATTAATATGCTGTCCTACCGCCTTTACACCACAGATTTACCTCATATTTAATTAAGACTATTCAGCAAAACTAACGAAAATATGTACCAAACGCATCACAGATATTGGGAATTTTATTTAGTGAAAGCGTTAACATTAGTTGTTAAATTTTCAGATGGAGAATTATGTGTTTGATATCATAACTAACAATACACTGGTGATGGAGGGGACGGTCCTCACCTTTTTTCCTGTATATTGAAGGGCTGCATTTTTGGCCAACAGTAGAGTTATTTTGGAAAGGGGCAGCAAAAAGTTTGGTTTGCCTCAGCCCTTGCTACTTCATTTTATGTACAGTATCTAAAAAGGAATGCGCAAACTACCATTAGCATATACTTTTTTCACCAGTCTTAAGTTTTCCCTTTATTTACCTGTCGGAGGAAGTTAGGTTGAAAACCAGTGCTCTAACATTAATCTATCTCAAATAAAATTTTAACAATGTGGACAATGAAAGAAACTAAACAGCAGCTTACTGTGTTATGAATCTGGTAACTTTATTTATTTACATATCTACATGTATAAACTCCTACACAAAGAAAAGAAAAGCATGAAAGAAATCTAAGAATGACACAGAACCATGTAGATAGTATTTTTAAAAATGACCAATCAAACATACAAGTCAAAAAATAATTGATTATGGTCTTGGTACCAGTTATATGGTTGGTTGCAAATAATGATCTAGGTAATGATTAAATTACCGGTAACTTAAGGTAAGAAGTAAATTTGAAGCAAACCGCCCCGCCTCCCCCCCCCAAACCACATCATGGTAAGAATGAAATGACTAGAGAAAAGGTTGTATTTTCACTTACAAATATTAAAATATTCTTTGATTCTCCTAAATTAAGCTAATAAAATCTAAATAATCAACAAGCAAAGAAATTTCCTGAACTTTTAGGATTCTACAGAAACCATAAATTTTAAATCAGAACACCTCATTCTCCGTAATCCTCTGTCAGCCTTCACATGGTGTGTTCTAAGTATGCTGAACTTTGGTGTTTCGCAAACAGTTGCACAGCTACAAAAGCTATTTTAAGAAATATGCCATGATTGCCTTATGCAAATGCAGCTTAATTCTACCATTTATCAGCTAGACATACATATAATACATTGCAAGACAGAATCCTGGTAGGCAATCAACTGTCTGTAAAATCAAGATTCAAATGCAGAGTACTTTTAATATATATTAGTTATTTTTTCATTTCAAAAAGAGTGAAGACAAATTTATGGGGAACACAAAGGAAAAACAAATCAGACTTTAAAAAGCCTGCAATATGAATATAAAAAAAAAAAAAAAAAAGCGAACAGTAAAATGGTCCCATCCTTATTTGGAAGTTATTTTTTCATTTCAAAAAGAGTGAAGACAAATTTAAGGGGAACACAAAGGAAAAACAAAACAGACTTTAAAAAGCCTGCAATATGAATATAAAAAAAAAAAAAAAAAAGCGAACAGTAAAATGGTCCCATCCTTATTTGGAGGTAAACTGATAATGGTTCCTAGCATGGTGGAAAAACAGTCAACGAAGTCATAATCCACACACAATACAATTACACCAATCTTCATAGCCCAACAGGTTTGCATTTTATCTGGGGAAGCTGTTATAATTAACTAAAATAAGTTTAGTAAATAAATATATTGGTATCAGTTTAATTCTTAAAATGTTAATTTTTGCAGCATTATTCTTATGAGAGGAGATTGTAATATTGTACAAAAATGTTTTAGGATTTTATAACTGACCTGTGAAAAGAATCAAACCATAAAGTGGACTTTTACGTGTACCTAAAAAAATTATGTACAATACCTGAAAAAATCAAATTTGATAGCTAAGTTATATCATAGAAGTGATCTAGCACATGAAAATTTGTGTTAAATTATATCTATGACAGTGGGGACAAAAATAAAAATCTTATGGACAGCAAATATGTGTATTTTTTTTAATTAAAAAGGCAATTGATAATGTATTGTGTTGCAAAATAACTTAAAATAATAAGTAGTACTACATTTCTAACATTTACAATGATTTGACTTTAAAAATTGTAATATTTTCAAAATAACCTAAGAGCCAGTTTGTTTAAAACAAAAGTTAAAATTTTCCATACAGCTCTGACTGCAGTGCTTCCAAAATTCTTCAGGAATTATTATCTGCAGGAATTATTATCTGCAGGAATTATTCCAATGCAGCAGAGACGAGTGCCCTCTTTATTGCTTATGGTTCATATTTTCATATTTATCAACTTTGAAATTTGTCATCCATTTTCTGAGAGCTCATTTAATAGCACTTTTTGAGGTTCCAATATAAATATATTGATATTTATGATGAAAAGTTTGCCTTCAGATCAATTTGAAAGGTGTGAATTGTTGTTAACGGTTTCTACAAAGTTTGTATTCCCTTTTGTCAAATGTGGTTATTATATATTTTGTAACTTAATGATGTACATCAACATTAATAGTAAAATAAACAATTATTTACATAGCTCATTCACACATACCAATCAACAATCACATGAAATTTAAAAAGTACCCAGAGCTATTTACAGAGGTTTACACCACACTACCGAAACTCTTAATGACATATTGCTTACATTTTAAGCTCTGCCTTTTTTTTTTTCATTCAATGCCATAGAGGACAGAAACAAAAAAGAGATTAAGTGTAAATGGGTTAAAAATTGAATAAATAATTTTGAGTTGAGGCAGCTTTCTCGCGTAATTTGAGGATTTTAATTTAAGAGACACACAAAAATACACTCGATAGTAAAAGTATTATAAGATCATAATGGAATACCCAAACTGATGGAATATATAAAAAAATTCACCATTGCACAATTCACATAAGCCTTTTATATTTGCCAGCTCTAGATAACAGAACTGACTCATGATTTAATACAAAAATTATCTGTGCTTATTTGTTAATTCTCTCCTAAATTCTTTTGCTTACATTTTGATGGTAAATTAAAAATTTTGTTAAAAAGGAGCAACCTTTTTAATTTTAATTTAAGTACCGTTAACAGTATCAAAGTCAACATTCTGTAAACAGATTTAGTAAAAACTTAAAACTCTAAAGAAAGGAAGATGACTCAGATATTTTCCAGGCATCTTTTGATTCTGTACAAACTAGCAAAAAAAAAAAAAAACTTTTTTGCTGATCAATTAAACTTGCTACTGAATTCTAAACATTAACACACTATTTCTGCATATCTCTGAATTAAACTACTAGTTAAAAGTCTAATTTCTTGTAAATTTCAATGTACATCTCTTCTTAACACTCTTTTCTAAGTTATTTAGTGTGTGGGCTTGCAGCAAGATCACATTTTAAAGCAGTTTTACCTTTTGGTAAATCAGCATTCTTTTGGTCACTTTAGAGAAAGTAATAGGTCTATGCTAATTTTAAAAATAAAAAACTTTAGTAAGTTATACATTTATGACAAAAATGCCATTGTGTATAACACTGATGTTCATGATAAATAAAAAATCTTAATATAATTAGAAGCTGGAGGGTTAATATGGTAAATGTGAACAAGAATAAAATAAAAGCATTGGATTAATCATAGATTGATTGAAAGCAAAATATAAGGGAGGGAATTAACAAATAATGGCACATTAGCTTTATTAAAAAAAATATATGTATAGGGCCTAATATATATATATATTTATGACCAAATCAAACAAACTCCCATTAAGAAATGGAAGCAAAGAACAACAAATAAATAGTTTTATTGCACATACAGAAATGTTAACTGGAGTTAGCTCTAAGGCTGGACCATCTCTAAGGACATTTACATACATTGTGATATATTCGTATTGTAAAAACATACTGTAATAAAGTTATTTTCGTTAAAAAAGTTTTCTTTTGCATAATATACTACTTTTCACTTGATCATAAAACAAAACAATATTACAAATCTATGGCAAGATTCTATCTAATAAAAGGAAATGAGCTTCGTCAAGTTTTACATTTAATACATTTATAATCCATTTAAACTTTATAAAAAAAAAGAAGAACCCATCAAGCATTGGACAAAAGGGAAAAGGATAATTTTGCCCCTTTACCTTTCTCCCAGCTATTGTACACTGGCAAAAAAAAGAAGGGAAAACCACTCCTTGATACATATAAGGAATTTAAAATTGGCAGATTGGATGATTGTTCAAATAATTAAAAATAAAATTGAGTTTGACACAACATCATAGTTTGTAACTCAGGAAGGAAACATAATTTCAACATTATCTTGTATCCACAGTTAAAAAATAAATAAGGCTACGTCTCTATGTAAAATAAAACGGCAACCATCTACTAGTTGTCTTAGAAATTTGATGACATTTCTTTCTAAATTAGATTTAAAGTAAATGAACATGATGAAAAAATTCAACATGAAAATGTGAAGCAAGGAACAGTAACAAAGAGTATAGCCTATTTGTTATGTTTTGGTAAACAATTATGTATAACATATTTTCAAACCCCTCAACATTCCTCAATAGAATGTGGAAACTTTTAACTTTGTATACAGGATGATAACAGTAACCCAGCATTCTCCATTATGTGCTGTTAGTTTAATAAGATGCATCTTTCCTAAAGCCTGGGGATGAACAGCCAAATATTTATGTGCATTTATTTATACACACAGACTCAAAAAACATTTTGTTTTAGGGGCCATCCATTAATGATGAATGATGCCACACATCTGGATTGAGAGGGTAGGGTTCCACGAATTTGTGATAATGTGTGATAAATGTGTCTAATTTGTGCTTGAAATTTGTGAGAATTGGGGCAGTGGGTAAAGAAATCAGCCAAATAGCTGTAACGTCATTTATGGATTTAATCTAAAAGAAAATTTACAGTGTTTGTCAATTTTTTTAATAACTTGACCTATAGCCAGCATCTAGATAAATCTGTGGTTTTCAACTAAAATATAAAATAAAGAGTAATTATAAAATAAAAGTTGTTTTTTCTGTAAGTTTGCAGCCCTATTCTGGTTTGTTGCAAGTTTATATATTTAAGACTATTCTGTAAAAATTTTGCTTCACATTCTTTTTTCAGTCCATAGAAACAGAGAAATAAAAAGAAACCAGTAAGGTTTGTTTTATTAAGGTGTATGAGAAATGAAATATCCTAGTTATGATCTTTTTTCTAAAATGAACAATTCTGATAATTTAGTGATATTTTTGGAGTGTACAAAGAAATCAGAATCCTGCAGTAGTTCACTTTTTGATAGGGTTGCAATTTTAATTCCAGAAAAAAAAATATATTTTTTTAAAAAAAAAATAAAAAAAAAAAACCCCCCCCCCCCCCTAACCAAGTGCAACAACTACAAAAAGGCACAAAAAAAAAAATAACTCACCTTGTAAGATCTAAAAAATATGGTTTAAAATGTAACCTGATGTAAAAAATGTTTTGTCAATGCAACCCTATTTTCTGAAGGACTAATTAAATGATTTATTTATTGTGTGTTTATCTTCTTAAAATGGCCAGTTAGCTTTGAATATTTTAAAATAAAATGGTCATGATTATGATGGGCAATCTTGTTTCTTAAAAAACTTATTGAGGTAAATATTGAAAATGTACGCCTTTTATCAATCTTTTAACCCTCTTGAGTCGGAGCTTTTTTGCACTATTGGTGCAAAGAACACAAGCCTTTAACTTTGCAAAAACATTTATAAAATATAAAGTAATTACTTACAAGTATGAAACTATATATAATCTTGTAGGGAATTGAATGAACTAAAACATCATTATGCAAATGAGATATCCTGATTTGAATTATTTATGCATGCAATTTTTTAAATACTTAGAATAAAAATGCCTACCATGCAGAATTTTGTTGAATTTTCTTATTGTTGAAGCCTAAATAAGTCCTAAATTAATGTGAAAAACTGCTTAAAATATTCCCCTGGGAGTGCTTATGCCCTTTGGCATATTTCAAGGTAATATTTTGTAGCATTTATAGGGGACACTGAGTACAAATAAAATTGTGAAAAATGACAAAAAACCGTAAACTATAAATGGAAGCCACCATTAAAATGGGGAGATGAGCATGAAATGTGAGAAGCAATCTGATGAGCTGGTACAAAGACCAACTAGCCAGTCTCGAGGCTTGCATTAATTGAACCATTCGTCTTTTTTGCCTTTCCACTCTGGGCCGATAGATCAGCCCAGCCATCTCAAGAGGGAGACCTGAGACTATTATCCGCTGTGTGAGTCATGATATGTTTTGATATGTTAAGCCCATATAAATGACAATAATAGATAAATAGCTTAATTTTTATTCTTTTGACAATATTCTTTGCCTTGACTTGAAATCTTAAATAGCTAGGTTTAAAATTACAAATAAATATTTGAAAAATCCAAAATTACCAATGAGCTTTCAACTAACACTCTAATTAAAAATTGTTTTAATATTTATGAAAGGAATTAGCCAGATTTTTATTTTACTAGAAGCCATAAACACAAACTCTCTCAAAGCCAAGTAAGTTTTAATATAATTTACAATAAATATTTTTTTTTATAAATCCTGATTTGTAATAGTGGAAATGTAAAATAGTCAATTACAATAATTTCATGAAGGAACTAAAAAATAAACCATTTAATGCAACAGATGTCAGACTTTATCACGGTTAGAGTTTTCTGCTAGGGCTTTTCTACTGACAGGTTTAGTCATGTCTCGATTTCTTGGTGGTAATGGTGGTTTTCTTTCTCTGTCGTGAGACTGGACAACAAAAATAGCAAAAATTATTTTATGTCAACATGAAGCTATATATAACACAAGATATCACTGCTTTTAATTATTATTTTACAGGCTGAGCAAATTTTTCTATCTCAGGGTAAACAATTAGTTTTTGCCCAAGTGGCAGTGAGGATGGACAAAGTGCACCACTATGAAAAAAACTCAGTCATGAAGGAAAGCATCTCTCTGAATCACACATATAATTTAAAGAGATTAATTTTGACTCACATCAGTGTCACCATTCTCTTTAGCAGAAGAACAGTATGAAGCTGGTACAAGCTCTGAGCAATAGGACACAGTGCTATCTGTGCTAATTTTTCTGTGGTTTTCTCCTCGTGGTGATGACATGAGTGCCTGGAGGTGCTCACACACACGACGGAAACGACGAGATGGACCTGATAAAAAAACAACTTAATGAACTGTTGCCAAATTATACAGTTTGATAATAGGCCTAAATTATAGTATTTGTTATATTAATATTGCAATCTGGTACCAACTTAAGAAGGCTTATTAAATATATCTTTATTTATAATAAAATTATACCAAAATTTACATAAGCTAAAAAGTCCTTAGAAAAGTAAACTTGTTTTATTTGTTGAAATTATTGATCCCAAGATTAGTGTTTCCCTAATTTTGCACATAGATCTACTTTTGCAAATTTGTTGGCACTGAATTATTCCCAGCTAACCATGGTGATATTAAAAGCTTGCTCATATCATTATTTTTAAAATTAATGTTACAATGGGAAAGCAAACATATAAATAGCAACTTTTTAATCTTAAATTAAGTTTAATTACAGTAATGAAAAAAATAACAATAATTTAAAAAATGAAATATAGTTTGCAAACAGTCTAAGCATTCTTAACTGCACTCAAATTCTGGTTAGGAAAAATGGTTTAAAAAATTGAAGTTTGAACAGAAAAAATATGGTTTTAAAATTTCTCTGCATACATTTAGAAAAAAAAGGCTTTAAAAATTGATAAAATTTTAGGTTTTGTAATCAGTCTTAAGAAGCAGCAAAAATGCTTGCTTCACTCTCTTCCACCCCACTTCCCTTTTCTTTTACTGTGAGAGTGAATGCTACAATACATTGATAGGAACTTGCCAAATGTAAGCTCTAATCAGCGTTGACAGTGAGCACTAACCTGATACAAGAGTAAATGTTAGACAAAATGTTGTTGCAGATGCTGTGTCCCGCTCCCCAGGCGCTGGGCTGATGTCTACTTGGAAGCGGACATTTCTAGAAAACATTGATGACCCACCACCCCGGCGGTACTCTCCTCTGAATGTAGTTGTTGACACGACACAATGGCTGAGGTCACATGTCTGGTTGAGGAAAATAAAACAAAAGTATTATATCATGGTCTGTTGCATTATTAACTGTAGGCCTATGTAATCCCTAGGCTTTTGAATTCTTATTTTAAATTTTTTTTTAATATGTATCCTTTTTTGAGCTTTTTGTGATTGAAAATCTAATTTAGGCTAATAATCTGGTTTCCTTACTGTTTCAGGTGCATACAGCAAGTATTCTTTCTATCCAATTAAATTAATTCAGATACTATAGCTGACAGAATACCAACTGTTCTCAATGTAGATAAGTACAGATTCTAATGTTAAACAATGATTACATTCTCCATTAGCTTGATATCCATTTTTAAAAATAATTTAATAGCGGGGGTGGGGTGTGTGTGTCTTGAGAACAAAACAAAAAAAAGAGAGGTATTTTGGAAGAAGAGCTTAATACAATCAGTCCAGCACAAGCTTTTTACAAAGGCATATGTGCCATAGTTGGTGCTCCTCAAGTTATCTTGCTATTACAAACACTACTAACCCCTGCTCATCAATGTTAATTATTTCCCAATTCCTAATGATAGCAACTCACTGAGAGGAATGCATGGACCAGATCAGCCTTGACTTGTGAGAAACTCTTCTCCCTGACCATGACAAAGTGGTGCTCTTGCTCCATTCCCATCAGGCCACCAAACCAGGACCTTTTGGCAAGTCTGGATGGTAGGAAAATAAACTTTTTATGCAACCATGTAGAGGCACTGTTAGTCTTTTTTTAACTGGTAGCTATTTATGAAACTTTTTATACAAGCAATTTGTAACAAGAAGACACTTATCAATTATACATATAAGAAAAAAAGTAAATATTACATCTTTTAGCAGTTGCATGTGACTATAAGGAATAAACAACCAGAGCATTTAAGAACATTTACATAATTTATGAAGTTGCATTAAATAAATAAATTGAAAATAACCTGCAGTGCTTTCCTTAAACATGTGTCATAAATGTTTAAACAAATCCTTTTCTTATTTGGTTCAATAAACATATTTTAAAATAATTGATATATAAAATTATGCATGTAGAAAGAAGCCTTCAAATATATTTAATGTCCAAGTCAACTTCATTAGCTTGTACCAAGCCACAATAAAGCTGATAGCTACTCTAAAAAAGCCTATATTAATCACTCAGCTGAAATTTATCTAAATCTTAGCAACTGACAATAATGAACACAAACTTACTCAGGTGATGATTCTGGTGTCATGTTAATTTCATCTGATGTTGGAACTGAAAAAAAATTCATAAGAGAATTATAGAATGGACAATAGAATTATGCTAACAATTTTACATTAATCCAAATGTGTTTAAAATTTATTAAAGTTATTTATAGTATAGTTTTGAATGTAGGCTATACATTAAATCATTATGACGATTTTTTTTTTTTTGGTAACCCCAACCCCTCATTTCTTTTAACAATTAACTTGATAAAAATGTGAAAAGTTCTAATAGCATTTATTGAGAATTAGTTTGGATGCGCCTAGGCATTTAGTATATATATATATATATATATATATATATATATATATATATATATATATATATTTAAAGAAATACATAATTTATTTACAATTTGAAAGAAAAACATTTTTTTTAAAAGGTCATAACTTAATTGAAAAATCTTAATAAAAATATATAATTCTTAATTGAAACTTTGATAAAGATGCAACTGGTATTGAAGTATCATTAATACAGTCAGTTTGGTGTAAACATCCCTTCAACCAACATCCCTCATGGCAAATGGCATACAGATGTGGGAATAGCATGTTAGTGTTTTAGCAATAAGACAAAATCCTCTAGACTACATTGGATAATGGCTGCATGAGCATTTTAGAGTATATCAGGATGAACAAAAAGATACAAAATAACTAATCCATATCTACTCAGATCAAATAGTTTGGCATTTAAATATAATTCAAAATAACAGTTGTGCATCCAACAGTATTTGTAGATGGAGAAGGTGTTAACATAAAGGATTTAACAAGTGGCAGAATGAGTTTTATATGCAACACTGTCATTACAGTAAGATGACAGAATGATTATAAAATGAAAAGTCACACAAATGCAAATATATATATACCTATATATATATATATATAATATACATTAGGAAAAAATGAAATCACAGCTCCTATCTAAGATGGACTTAGATATATAATATAGTACACATGAGTGTATGAGTCATTTTAAAATTAAATATGAAAAGATAAACTAAACATGTAAAGTTTACAATCTGAAGCATATGTCAAATATACTAAAATATATTAAGTAATTAACACCGTAGTGTAAACTTTCAAAACTTTTAGGTTTAAGAATACATTCAGTCCAGTTAATTTAATGTATATTTTAGGTTCATGTTTGGCAGTGCGACAGAAGCACCACACCTTTCTGATGAGATATAAAAACAATATCAAATTGTGTGTTTTAATTTCACAGTACTTATAATCATTTTGATAAAGTGAAGAAACAGTTAAAAGGAAGCAAATTAAAATAAGAAACATTTAGCAAATAAGAAGAGTCAAAACAAATTTACACACGGCAAAGATGAAGAACAGATGAGAGATGACTACAATTTATGATATGACAAGTAAAATAAATTTCATTAAAATGAATTAGAATAGTGAACAAAGTCTCTTCAAATATAAAGCACTTCAAAATACATGTATAAAAATATATAATTAAAAATTCAAAATTAAAGCTATTCCCAGTTATTGAAAATATTTTATAAAATCTTGAAACTATTATTACATAGGCCTAGATTATACCATTAAATGGTGATCTGTCTGAATGTTGCTTGATGGTATCGCACGGAAAGAGAAATAGTTCATGATGAATTTAGACATTTTTTCCATGTAATTTAAACATAATTGATATTCCCACACATTTTAAAGTATCTTGATAGACCTTGAAATCAATACCATGTGAAAGAATGCATATATCTAAAGCCTCATTTGTGGGACTTACAGCTTGATGAGAGACATTTCACTCTAAATGTTGTCTCTGATGAGATTTTAGTGCTCTAAACAAATATTTAAAAATTAGCTCCTTTGATTAAACTTAAATTTTAATATTATATATGTTTAACTTAAAAATAATGCTGTCAAATAATTCTGAAGTTCCTCACAAAAGGATGGGCAGCTCAGACATATGAGAACTACATCATGTTTTGTGAAAGTGGAATGAATAATATTATAATATTATAATAGGTCATAGGTGAAAAAAATCACCATGATAAAACACATGTTTGAATTTCTGATTATTTTATTCCAAGGTAAGATTCACAATGTGAAATTTATAATTTGGTGAAGATTGTGTTAGCTGTACATGCTAAATTTTAAACAAAACATTCCTACAATGCAATAAAGGTGTTACCAAGGACTTAATTTGGCAGGCAGCATTCAAAATACTTCTGAATGTTTTTATTATTTTTTTTAAGAATCTACAATTCGAACACAGAAATTGTTAAAACAAAATAGTTTACTTTGAGATGGTAGTTAACCAATGGAATATTTTGTAGAATATATATCCAATCTAAACAGTTATAAAGCATTTCAATTACTACAAATAATTGTTTAATAGATTGATCAGAAATTCCCCATGATCAGAAATTCCCCAATGCTAAAGTGTGTACACACTAATGAAAGAAAAAAAAATTGTCACTTTATATCTCCATCTTGATTTTCCATCCCATGCCCTATGCAATAGTTACACACAGTGGTTAGAGTGGGGAATGAAAAACTTACACACACTCACTCACAAACACAGCAGCAATGTTAAAAGGAATTAAGTAGGAAACAATAAATTATATATTTATCCACCTGTCAGGTTGTCCATTTCTATAGGCTCTGGCTGGTAAACTAGAACAAGCATTCAATAAGTGGAACAATTATACATGGAGCTATTTAATGGCTGTTTATTTTAATTAATAGTCTCCTTAAGTGAACAATTTTAACTGGGCACATTATGCTTGTTCTAAGACGTATATATATTGTAGATAGCTAAAGTTATCAATGAAAATGAATATTACTTCTTGCATAGCCAAGTTTTTTTTGGTATTTAAACCCTTCCACAACTCTGTACAGACGTAATAAAAAAAATCCCTTCAATTATAGAGCCCTAAAATTATGTACCTGAAAGTGAACACCGCTTGAAACACCCCTTGAAACACCCCTCCCCCTTCCTCTTTTGCATTATAAAACCCCCATAAAAAATCCTGAATTTATCTTTTGATATAAAGATGAAAGAGCATAAACAAAAAAAAAGAACAATTACATTTTTTAACTAAATAGAACTGAAAGACAAAATCTAAGCATAAATTTAAACAAAAAGGCATCTTCAGACATTTGAGATACAAGTTTTGAAAATTTGTCTTGGGCTACTGTAGTCTGAGATTTGTTCAACATGCAGAACCACCCACTGATATCAAGAAACCTAATCACACTCTCTTCCCCATGTAGCCATTGTTAGTGGGCATATCTGCATGCAAGAGGACCACATCATACCTGGCATATTGCGTCTATGGAACCTAGGAGACCCAAGAATACTGTTTCTCATAGAGAGGTACTCCCTTTCTTTAACAGCTGCTGCGCTGTTGTGGCAATGGCTGTTTGATGCTGTGCTGCTGTTGCCATGGTTTATTCCTGCACTATTGGTACGGGTGCCGATGAAGTCCCTGTCTCTTAGTGCTGTCGGTGAGTTGTTGACGGGAGATGCTGGTAGGTCATTTCCACGGTAACCTATGCCTGAGGGCAATGGAGGTGGTGGTGGAGAAGATGGTGTATTGTTGTAGTGAGAAGTTGCTGTACAGGACACATAGACAGCACCTTCTCTATCCCTGAAGGCTGAATGGTTAGTCCTCATGCTGAGGTTGGGTGATGCTGGTGGTGACAGATAATCCCGCCCACTTGCGTTGGCTCTGCAGCCTATGCTATAAATATCCCTTGAGTTATCCAACCTGCTCGGTGCACCATATTGATTATTCTGTTGACGTGCTGCCAATCCATTTCTAGCTGCCATGACCTCCTTGTACTCTGGAGGACTGGAAGGATTTCCATTGTTGCTGCTGGTGCTACTACTGCTGCTGCTACTGCTGCTGGTGTTACCATAGTAACCTACTTTTGCTGCTGTGTGAGGGTGAAGATTGTGGCTTTGGCTATTATTATAATCATTAGAAAATAAATTATTACCATAACCACCTTCACCTGGAGCTAACATATTCGTGATAAGATCACTAATGGAGGCATGATCTCCACCACTTGCATTAGTACCTCCTCTAGAACTGGATGCTCCGCCTGCGTCTTCACGCTCCTTCCAACCTTCCCTCCCCCTCTCCTCACCTTGCATTTTCCGCCGGTGAAATCTGGGCGAGCCCAGGAAACTGTTCTTAATGGTGTGGAGCCGAGACTTCCACGGTGTTGTCTGTATAGATGGGGAACCAGGGGGTGTGGCTGAGGGACTATGTGAGGGCGTGGACCTGCCTGCCCTTGGGAGCTTTGGACTGGACAGAGGTGAGGAGCTAGGGCTGCCACTCAAACTCGCCTTTCTTCTGACAAAGAAAAATGCAATGGGAGTTAAACATCTTAAAAGCACATATCCATTATAAGTTAAGTAACACATTATTTTAAACATATGTTATACTGGAGGAGCACTAATTTCAGGCAAAGTTGTAAATAGGAGATTATAATATACCACATTATAGATATATAAACGTAAGAATTAATTGCATTCAAATGATATTGTCATGTAAAACATAAAAATTTATGTTTTAGAATTGGATTTGGTCAAATATTGCAGTTATCCCCCTTATTTATCAACAACAAAAGCATATTAAACAGAAAATACAACTTAATTTCCACAAAATCTTTTTTATGCTTAATCTTCTCATGGTTGAATAATATTGATCATTGACATGAAGTACCTGGCAATATTTTTTGAAAATGAGAGTACAAAAACAAACAAAATTTTCTTAATAAAAGAAATGAAATCATCAACTGCAGCACAGGACTTGTTCCCTTTGATTCCATTACATTTTTTTTAATGACATTAACATGCAGTGACTTTTTGTTTTGACAGATCTAATGAGACTAATGGTTTAACAGATGTTTGCATACTGAAAGATAAGCAGTCCAATAATACTAGTGAACATGGATTTAATAAAAAAGGACTTTTACAGCTGCCTAGAAAATTATAATAAACAAAACAACTGACAGTCATTGATATATATAAAGTTATATTAAAATATAAAGAATAATTAAAATAAAACAAAAAAACAAAAAAAAATTATAATATGTAGTTATATTTAATTCTTTGTGAAACTGTATAAGCTCTGAGCTTTTGATGATTATGATATATTATAATGAATTATTCACTCACTGTACCATACACATGAAATTTATTCAAATTATGCCCCTTCAACTCTTGCATATACTTGATTTATAGCAAGTGACATGAATGATTGACCGATTGCAAACACTTGATACAAAATACATTTGTCACAACTTATTACTTACACTTGCTGAACTTTGAGTGCACGCCTGGATGCCACTGGTGACCCCTCACTAATGTTACCTAGTGACAGTCTATATTTGTCCATTCCGGAGTTAGCATGCATGAGGAGATTGAATTATGAAAAAGGAATGGGGAGGAGTGTGTTATAATTAAAACTAAGATATGTTAATTGGTTAGATGAGCTGGAACAGGCTTTTAACATCTCTTGTACCATTTAATCATTTTGTTTGTAAACTAGGAAAATATTCTGGAATCAAATTTCAGAGGTTCGATACAGGAGATCAATTTGTTCTTATTTAGTAAAACCCAAAGCTCACATATGCATGATAATGATTTTCATGGACTTGAGGCTGAGTAACCTGTAGTTAGTGAAAATATCTTAGATAGAGGCAATGTTTTCTAAAGGATTGTAATGCCTAAAAACACCTAGTATAATTTGTTTTTTTCATATTTAAAAAGCATTAAAAATGTTAATTTACCCTCCACCATTTTTTAAGAATTCCACTGAAATACATGCAGTGTCAGGTTGAAAAACACTGTCTCTGAGCATGGGATGTTACATAAAAACAAGGCAGTTTTATTTAAATTACATGCAATGTGAAGGACTAAAAACCCAACACTTGTGCAGTCAGTAAAGATCACCCAGTGTCCTGCAAGCATTTTTTAAGTAGTAGAACAAAGCCGCCAGGAAGAGACACATTTAGCCTATGCTCTTACAAGAAGGCAGTTAATGCAATCTTTACAAAAAAGGCTGCTCCATGTGCCCCATTTAAATAAAAGAGTTTTGGGATCTTTAGAAGGAATAGACCATAGACCTGACACAACTTTGACCTGTATTCATTAAAATATTTTTTAACTGACTTTAATATCATAAATAAAATGTGTGGTATTTAAGAACAGCATTTTTTAATTTCAATTTGAAAAATGTTTTTTAAACCTATTACTTGTGTATTTTCTCACTAAATGTTAATCACAAAAAGTCAGTCAATCAATCTGTATAACTTTGTTACATTTGTTAAAAACAGAAGAAGTATTGTGAAAGGGTTAATTTCTGTATGAGGCAAGCATTTCAATTCTGAGGTGAGATTAAACAGCTAAGCAGTCTTTGCATAATTTTCAGATAAGATGAAACAAAATTATTTACTTAATACATCCCATTTTAAGAAATATTTAAAAGCTGTTGTGTTCTTTAATTTGAACTGCATTTTCTTAAAAAACAATGTTTTTAGTCCAACATCGTACCTTGCTTGGCCACCGAATTGTACAGCATCCACACGCTTTCTTGGAGGATCAGCTGCAATAAATGGCACAGAAAGATTTAATATTTCCTTTTATTATATAGACAACAAAAACATAAAAAACAGGGAGAAATAATCTGCTAGTCATAAAAGTTGCTGCAGAGTTGGATTCATTAAAATGAAAGTGAATCTGGTTTTTAAAAATTAATGATGTTTGAATTAATGTTTTATTTTACACTCAATAAAAACATGCCAAGTTGGATGCCTTGAAAGAGTTGACAAAAGTCTGCACCATTTTTGGAAAATAAAAAAATAGCCACTTTAAAATTATTTTTTTTTGTTTCCCAACCCCATTTTGATGTTAATAGCTTCAAGCTACTACTGGATGCCATAGTGATGAGTCATAAAGCTTGAGTCGGAGAAGTACATTTTAATTTCCAATCTCTGCAGCCCTAACAAGACCCAAACCAAAATTAAGTGAACAACTTTGAAATGATTTAAAGATATATGAATTGAACACAAAAGCATCACAATAATGCTTACTTGTTTAAAAAAAAATAGATCAACATTTTAAAGTAAAATATATAAGTTACATAAATATGAATTAAGAGGGAGACATTTGAGCCTTCAAACCCTTTGCCTTACTGGATGTTCATAACAGTGCACACATTAAAAGTCAAACATTTTCCTTATCTTATAGAAGGCCTGCTTGGTGAAAGAATGAAAGAACTGTTTAATACTTATAAGAAACATGGAAACCTAAATCTAAACCTGGAGAAAAAAATTACATTTTCACTTTTGAAATTAAAAACAACTTCTGTCTGGATTTAAACAGTGATTAGTTAAAAAAAAAAAGTATCTTGTGTATATTTACAGAATTTAAAAAAAATTCTATTGAAGAAATTTTAACTATTTATTCAAACTGAATACCATTTTAAATTTAATATATCACTTTAAATTACATTTAAAAAACATTGTGTAAAAAAAATCCAGCATGAAAACAAAGAAGAGCAGGTAGATATTTAAAAAGATAAAAAACTGGGATGGATGGTAAAAGTGTTATTTAAGTGACTTTATGAAACTACAGATTGAACCCCCAGTGAGGCAAATGGTTTAATGATAGGACCACAAACGCCCCCTGCATGGCCACTGGTACACTACCTTGTTCCTCGCCAGGTCCCGCTGACTCACTGGTGGAGTGGCTCTTACCTGATTCTGAGCGGTGCCGCACATCCAGTTCATCTTCCACACTAGGGTTCCTGAGTTTTCGGTCTAACAATAAAAAGTAGACAACCTTCTCTGTATTGTGTCTGGAAATGTTATCAGAGGAAAATTTTATTTTTAAGTTATTTTTCTAAACTTGTTTACATTGTCAATTCAGTACAAAGCATAAAAAAAATAACACATGAGAAACACAAGCTAAAAATCTTTTAAGGTCTTAAATTTTTAATTGGAAATTAAATGACATATTTCATTCCTTTAATAAATATAGAAGTAATATTCCCACTAACTTTAAATGCATACTGACTGAGCATTGAGAGTGACATTGGTAAAATATTACTTTATGAATCCAAAATAGTCCTTAAGATGGAAGAATATGAGCACATCCAATTTTAAAAGATATTGACACTTATAAAAGTGTGCACACACAAACACACACTTCTTATAGAGAGAACATTGCTGATGTATTAGCTATCTGTGAAATTTATTGCAAATGAACATATAAACAATAGGAGAGTTTTCTAGTAATATGATGGTGCCCAAATGAACTGAAATTCCTTCCACTATAATCTACTATGTGACTCACTTTGCATTAAGTAGTTCTGATACTAATTTTTCCTTGTCTTTGAAACACTGTAATGAGTTCATTGTAGATAAGACATCTGGATCCAAATCTTCTACAGTTGGAATTATAGAGGTCTGTAGCATTGAAGATCAAATGAAATTTTAAAACAAATTCTGAAGTTTAGTTCAGACTAAATATTTGAATGATCTATACCCAAAAATTTCTGTAATATTTTGCTATGTTTTTTTCTATAAAATGTTAAGTCGTCCAGCAACAGAAAAATTGTCTTTTATGTAACTGTTTATTTCCACAATACTATTATAAATATTTTGTTAAAAATTAGGAATAAAAAAATCTAGTCCTTAAGAAAAATCCTATAATATAAAATAACAATAAATTGTTTACATTTTATAACAAACAATTTTATAAATATAAATGGCTTTAATTTTAGTTCTAAATTGTACTCTTTTAAAGTTGGCCTGATGTCCAATGGATAATCATTATATGATGCCATGATAAGCAATGCCATAAATTTTTAAATAGAAAATGAATAGAGATGGTTACCATATTAAATTTTTTTTATAACCCCAATACTATAAGAAATGCATAATCACAGCATATGTTAAAACTTGACAAAAACCAACCATGAAATCACCAAAAAAGGTTTGGTACAAAAAAAACCCAAACAATTTAATTACCTACATTTTAATTATAATAAGCTGGTTGTAGATGTCACTTAATATATTATATTGTATTATATTATATTGTTTCTTAAATCAATGGTGTTAAAAAAAGGACATTGCTGACATCATATGTGATTATCACAAAATTAATAAATAGTTCTACATTTCAAGCAATGAAGGTAGGTTAACAGATAAGATCTTTTGTCTTCACTTGACTAAAATTATCTAATTTCCATAATTTGTTTCATAAGTTATAATTTTAAAAATAATTTGAGTTTACAGAAGAATAGCAAAATAGAATGATATAGCTAATAGACAATTTATTTGGTAAATTTGAAATGACTTAAGTATTTACAGCAGATATATTTTAAAACATAGAAATAAACAGAAATTGAAAAGAAACAAAGCAGGTTTTGTAAATAAAATAAGCTTCATCACTTCTCAGCAATTGGCAATAGATTTAGAAAGCTAATCAGAAAAAAATATAGATCATTAAGCTGATATTTATTAAATATTACTTAGGAAACAGACAGTTTTAAGCATGATGTCTTATAAAAATAATATTTTAATAAAATATATTTGTTACTATTAAGTGCTATTGAGCTTGCATGCAGAATATGGAAAACTAAGAGAAAATATTGGTGAATTATTACAAATAATATTGAGAAAGTTTCATGCATGCAAAATAAAATAAGATGAAACAGAAAAGTTAATTTTATTGTATGATTTTTAGCTGTAAATCTTTAATGTGATTGATGTTAATGAAACATACATTTTTTTTTTAGAAAGGAGTAGGTATCATTAATCAAATATCAAGAAAAAATCTGATTGTTAAATTTAGCCTCTTCAGAGATTTACATTTAAGTTTTAAAAACATTATTTGAGTAGTAGGCCTATACCAATATATATTTTTGGCCTATTATAATATTTTGTTCCAATGAAATTTTTAAAATTATAAAAAACTCAAATTAAAAAAGTCTTTTTAAGAGTTTACCATGCTTAAATGTTTAAAAAAATTAATTAATTTGAAACTTGATTGGCATATACCATTATACAGTTTGTTTTGTTGATTAAAATGTATTTTAAAAAATGGTTTAAGAAATAAATTATGCAATAAAGTAATGTTAAAAAATAATTAACAAAACAAAAACAATCACCTGGACTACTTGTGCCACTGGGAGCTCTAATTCTATATGGCCAACAGTATCCCTACAGTTGACAAACCATGGAAATATAAAAACAATAAAATAAAAGTTGAGCAAGGAAACAAAACTTGTGAAAGCAGAAAAAGGAGTTTATTTTCCTTTGTTATTCAGCCAGGTGGGATGTTAAAAGAAGCTGTAAAATTAATTTACAGAATGATTTTGTTTTGTAAAATACTGAAAATTTTGCAGCACTTCAAAGTCGTGGGAACATTTTATAAAGCATACAAACAAGAAATATGTGTCAAATAAACAAATATAATGGTTAAACAAATGTTTATATATTTTTAATATCTAAATTTATTTCTTGAATTACATTCCTTTTTTGTTGTTTGACCTATTTAAACAGTTTAAGATCTAATTTCAGTATTTTTACAAACCGTTATGTTGGGTACTGAATACAACTCTAATATCTTTCAACACTGCAAAAATAACTTAATTGGCAGAAGTAGACAACTCTCAAGCTCTTATTATAAAACACTTTGCTTGTTCGTTTTTATCAGTAGGCCTAGGCTAACAGTTACTAACAGTCTATTTGCTTCATGAATTTCCTATTAAGTAATTTGCTTATTGTATCCCTCCATTATGTTAGTATGCAAAAAAAAAAAAAAAAAAAAAAAAAAAAAAAAAACAAAAAAAAAAAAAAAAAAAAAAAAAAAAAAAAAAAAAAAATTTACAAACCGATATGTAGGGTACTGAATACAACTCTAATATCTTTCAACACTGCAAAAATAACTTAATTGGCAGAAGTAGACAACTCTCAAGCTCTTATTATAAAACACTTTGCTTGTTCGATTTTATCAGTAGGCCTAGGCTAACAATTACTAACAGTCTATTTGCTTCATGAATTTCCTTTTAAGTAATTTGCTTATTATATCCCTCCATTAAGTTAATATGCAAAAAAAAAAAAAAAAAAAAAAAAAAAAAAAACCCACATGGGGAGAGTTAGGCACTGAAGCAGTTAAAAGGGAAAAGATAACAGAACTGTTAACTGTTCACCACAATGCAGGCAGACAATAAAGAAATGTGAAAAAATAACACAAAAAAAATGTTGCTATAACATATTGTCATTATCTAAGAAAAAATTCTGAAAATAATATGATTAACTGAATAAAAGACAAAATTAAAACCAAACCAAAAAAATTAAATAAATAAATTTAACTAAAATCAAGGCATGAAGAAATGTTATAGGTTGACAACAATAACTATGTTTGCTGACAAGGTAACAGTCCCAAGGGTGACAAGTCACAGGACAGCACACACTGCACCTAAAGTTGGTGAGGAAAAGCTAGGTGATTTGCTAGCAGTGTGTACCTGTACAATTTGCATCATAGGTAATTCTGCTTCTAGGTCCTGCTTACTTCCCCTAGAATAGAAACCAGAGCTCTTTTATCATGGTAAATATTGGGGTAAGTCTTTAGTCTCTTCTCTTTTAACATTAAGCCCTACCTAGTGTTTTGTGTGATGATAAACATTGACTGAAAACAAAATCCGTTTCTTCATTAGCCTCCAGTGAAAGATGACACAACTCATTACCATCATGGTCTTTTTAAATTTAGTCAACAATTTTAGACTGGAATAATGAAACAAAACTATGTTCTTTTAAATGATACTTTCATTCTGTCTTATCAATAAATTTAAATATCACTGTAATTTAATTTGAAACTAGTTCTTGATAAGAAAGGAAATTCCATAGCACTTCAGCTTGTATCATCTGTTTTGATAGCCATAAATGATGAAATGCTTTTCCTTTTCAAAAGGAGCCAAATAAATATTCAGTGAAGGAAGGTTTTATTTTTGTGATTTTACTTTATCAGTTATGACTGTTATATAGTTGACATTGAATTTTTAAAGATTCAATGAAGAGTTTTAACATGTTTCTATTCTTTATCCTCACAATGATAGAATATACATATAAAAATATATTTAAACAAACATTTTATGATTATGTTGCTATGACTTTCTGTTTAGAAGTATTTTTATATGAATACATTGAAAGAAGCATATATATAATGGTCAATAGTGGCTAGTTTGTATCCAGGCATGTGCAAACTCTGCCCAATGGAAGGTTACAAAAAACATAATTCAAAATTGCCTGAGAAATACAAAGATAAGCATAAAACTTGCTGAGTTAATCAAATAAAATTATTATGTTTAAGTAGTGTGCAACCTGAAATTAAAAAAAATATCATAGTTGTGTTTTATTTCGTGTACTACTGTACTGCGTAGGCTTACTGTGTTAAGTCTTTCAGTCAGAGTTGAATTAATTTTCAATGGGAAGCACAAACTGTTGTGTGATTATAGTTGGTAAAGAAGATTTTTAATTGAAATACAAAAGCATGGTCAAATGTTTATGAGCTGTATGGAACATGCCATTTAAACAAAAGCTCCATATAAGGAAGGCTGACAGACAGGAACCAGTATTAATTTTTAAACTAGTAAAGCTCAATGACAATAATATAGATAACACATACATCAGTTTGGTAATGAGATGAAAGGTTTGAAAAGTGAATTCAATCTAGGGTTTCAGGATTCCTAGCAAAGGAGATGATATAAATATATTTTGTCTTGATTCAATCTTGAAAATGATGGCCTTGGAATTACTTTATCATCCCCGATGATCAATCCAACTTTATTATCAAGATAGGGAAATCCCCAATTGTAGAAACTTGACTGAAACTATCAATATGTCCAATAATACCTGTGGTAGTATGTACTGTTAAGGAGACGCATGAAAAATCTTCTCACGTTAACCAACTTTAATTAACTCGATTCTATAAGATTTCTGGTTTCTGGTTCTGGTAATGTTTCGTTGCTGCATCTATGTACTGGCATCTTTGCAACGGGTGGGGGGTATGATGTTGCTATTCTAACAGCTTTATTTTGTTTTGACCCGACATAAAAACATAAAATTTTGTGCAAATCACTCATCAAGTCTAATGGGAAATATTGGTCTGGTTGAAGACCATCTGCTCAACCCAGGGTCTCACCCTCAGACTGATAACGTTTGCACATGCCTGACAGATACAATAAATAATATATGCAGCATGGTAAACTGCATGCTGAAGAAGATTGAATGAAGAAATCAAATTTCTCTCACCATAACCAAGGACCACTGGTTAAAAGGTTATATATGTTTTACTTGTAATATTAAGTGGCATTACAATTAATCAGAGACTACATTTCAAGGCTTTGAACTTACAAAGTGCCTTAAATGATGGCATACATGTGTAAGAATTTGATAAATGGTTTTTAAAC